TAAATTTAGGTTGAAATGACGTTCCTGAATAATCGTTGGTAGAGTCGGTTGGGGGAGGCGGGGTATAACTTCCCGACAGGTCCGTCAAAAGTGAGAGGCCGGTCGGGACAGGGCTTCCGTGCTAAGGAAAAACGCCGTATGAACATTCGAGAGTTGCCAAATTTCCCCGGATAAAACATGTATTTTTTAGGGCGATCGTGCGGGTTTTTTCTTGAAATTTTCAGACATTTTATACGAAATCTTGAGCAAAATTGTCTGAAAAAATTGAAGAAAAAAATTCAACATTTTCCTAGTAAATTAAGATTTTATTGAAGGATATGTGGCAACGTCTGGAGGTTCATACGGCGTTTATCCTCAGCGCGGCAGAGAGGTCCACCGGCTGGCAGTGATCCGGTCGCTCCAAATCCTCGCTGCGGTGCAATTTAATTCAATTATAAACCAGCTCCATCCTCAATCTGGTTCGTGACGTACGGAAATCGCCGAACTGGCTAAAACCCGATTTCAAGTAAAGGGCCACCGCCGCACTCGGAGATGCACTTGTTAATGCTGCTCGTTCATACCCCCCGACCGTGATGAACGATATGAGCGTTGGCAGCTTTTATTCGTAACCAATTGGAAGTCGCTCCTGAATGGAGATTTGCATGTGTGAGGAATTTGCGATTTGACTATCGGGACTCTAAACAGTGATGAACGGTAACAGTCAATTTTCATACGTTAGTGCGCCTTCAATTACATTTGATACGGTGCAATACTTTCGTGGTGGAATAGTTGCATTGGCGCCTACGAACCTAACAGGGATACTTCACGCATTGCGCAATGCGTGAAGTATCCCTGTTAGGTTTGTAGGCGCCAATGCAACTATTCCACCACGAAAGTATTGCACCGTATCAAATGTAATTGAAGGCGCATTAACGTATGAAAATTGGCTGTTACCGTCATAGTGTCAGGGGGTATTTTTTAACGAGGAACTTGAATCTCAACTCAAATTTTTAAAATTCAAAAATCCTAAATGGCAGAATTTGCCAAACATGTTATCTTGAGACTCTCGAAATTTAAGACGGTTGACCACCTGACCCACGCATCACCATGAAAAAAATGCTCATAATTTCAATTAATCGCTCAATTGATGGAAGTTTACTCACTAAAAAACGAATTGTAAAGTTCCAAAGGGAGTCACCGTCAGTTGAGTCATAACCATAGGTGTCAGCCGAGACCATTATCAACAAACGAGAATTGCACAAAGTATTTATCGATTCATATGTAAAAGTTCGCAAGAAACACGATGGTGCCACTGGTTTTCTCTGAAATCAACTCCCAAGCTCAAAATAAGCTCTCAAGTTGAGGTCAAAATGGAGGGGATATCCCACACTATCCTGAAAGTCCACCTCTACATCATGACAGACTCTCCATGCAAAGATAGGGAGCAAATACATAACAAGGGTTGCCACTTTATTTGGGGACTACAAAACTGAAAACACGGCAACCCTGCTAATGTATTTGCTCCCTATCTTTGCATGGAGAGTTTGTTTGGATGTAGAGGTGGACTCTCAGGATAGCGTGGGATAGCCCCTCCATTTTGACCTCAACTTGAGAGCTTTTTTTGAGCTTGGAAGTTGATTTCAGAGAAAACCAGTGGCACCATCGTGTTTCTCACGAACTTTTACGTAAGACTCAGTAGTCAAATTACAAATCCCTCACACATGCAATATCTCCATTCAACCCTCCACGGTTTTTAAAACATGGTACTTAGGTAACTCCCCCGAATACAAATCTAATCTACCTAACCGTCGATATTCGTTTTGACCTCAGGGTTGCAAGTTTCGTAAGTCTTGAAATATCTCTGTTCTATTCTGCCGTGCTGAGGAAGAAAGTCGCATAAGCCTTTAGACGTTGCCAAGTTTCTTCGATAAAAACCGAATTTACCGGGAAAAATGTATAAATTTATATTAATATTTTCATTTTTTTAAATGTTTTATTTTGGGGTAGGATTTAAACTTGAAGTTGTGTCATGGCACCCTAGTTGCGAGCCCCTATCCCCAATCCAAGAGCATGACATAATTTATGAGAGATCCTTCGATGATGGAATGATTTCTATCGGAGCCAGAGCACAGTAAACCGATAACCTCATGCGGGTAAACGTAACCAATTCAGGGAAAACCTGTGTTTTTTCCTCAAGAACCAATGTAAAGTAGGCAATTTTTCTCTCTTCTTCTTAACGGATCAGGACTTCCATGCCAACATAGTTCCTAAGATGATCTGTGAATGATGCGATCGATTTCCTGTATTGTCTCCCGGGTCCCGTTTTGATGGCTTTTTCTTCGATGTAATATGAGGCAGATGTGCCAGAATTCAAAGGAAAATCCACTTATTGGCGTGCGCGTGATGTGCTTTCGAAAAGAATGTCACTCTCTCGAAGTTGGCAACCCTGACGAGAACTGGAAACTTCCGCATAGAAAATTATTCACGCACCGATGTCGCAGGATCGATGACCGATCACCCTTCTCAGTCGTAATAAAACTTAGAGCTTCGTTTTACCGCGATGACAGGACATTTAAATTTCATCTCTCAGATAGTGCTTCATCGAATAATTCATAAACTTCCGGCTGAGGCAACACCCTAAGAGGAAGATCATCGTGGATTGGAAAGTAACTTTTGTTTGCTGCTCAAAAACTGATCCGACGAGCTGATGCGATGATTGCTGTCTATCAATATTTCACCTGCCCATTACCGAAAATAATGATAGTTTAAAATTCATTCATGGTTAACTCTGATATGACGTGGTTCAAGTCATCGCCTACATACCCTTCCGTCCTCCGTTCGATCTGTCATGTAACAATACCCATTGCACCTTATAGCCAGTGGCGAGGCGTGAATGATCAATTATCGATTTTCCCCCATTTGAAGCTATGGTTAAGAATCTATTATTAAAGTTTTCGCTGTGAACTCTGAATTTTCGACTGTGAAACTTCTTGTACTTACTTCCGCTTAAACTTACAAAGATCGAGAGGCAAACACAGGGGAAAATATGAAAAATAAATAAGCGATGACGACTTATTGATGAGACGTGAAAGGAGATAGTCTCACGGAGGGGAAGAACTCTTGAATGACTGAGATAAAGATAAGAAAAGGCAATCGCGGGTTCATGAATGGGTAAAGAGATATGACATAAAAAAACATGAGTAAACATCAACGCCGTATTATGATTGTGTTTGTGAGAAATCTCTTGATATTCATACCGTAGGTTATGATTTTCGTGCACTTGCCGTTAGTGCCAACTGCATTTCCCATCGTTGGGAGAAAGTCTCATCTTTAACTTCCTTACGAGGCAGTGCCTCAATATTATCAATTAATTAAAAAGAAATGCACCATGCGCGTATCAGCGCTGGCGACTCTCGCTAAATTGACACATGTTGCAACAGATTGTGATTACATGGTAAAATCGAGGCATTTTTTTTTTTCGATAAAAGCGCGTGTGAGACTTCCGATACTGCTAGGATTGTGCAACGTAGTTCTGCAGTTGTAGGAGCCAACCCAACCCACATTTTCGAAAAAATTAAGTTAAACATTTTTTTTAAGTTCCACTAGCCGTATATTTTCTCCTGCCAAAAATTGGAAGTCGAAAAACAGAAATTAAATTATGAAAAGAGGGGTTGAAGTTTATGTTCTACATTGCAAGCCCCATTCAGGAATAAAACTTCAAAGCTCTTTTTCTCAACATCAACTTAATGTGGATTGGTTCCTTTCTGATGAACTCGGCCCAACTTTTCCGGCAGCTCTGGCTTCTGCTATGAAGTTTTCCCTGAATCCGCTCCGAGTTTTTCCTCGCCCTTTTACTGAAAAAGTTCTCAATTACCTAATGCTAGTGAATCGGGGTGTTGTGTATGTACTGTTGCGTGTTCGTTCATTGAAGGGGCTCCTCCCATTTGTTATCGCAATCATTGGCGGATCCAGCAAATTGGCAACATTGTCTTTTCTCGACATACTTAAACCTATTGAAATGTATCGATTCTTAGAGGGGCCAGGTGCTCTGACAGAATCGATTAGCATAGGTTTAAAGGGAAGAAATCCGGTGTTGCCAAATCGCTAAAACAATTGAAATAAAAGTTGCAATTTTTTTTACGTTGCATCGCATTTATTTGCATGTAATCGGTATTTACTGACCAAAAGATATAAAAGTAATCAATTGCATGGTGAAAAAAGCTGCAATTCTATTGCATTAAATTGCACAATTATTTTAATATTTTCATTATCCTGTGCTACACGAGAGACTGCCTCGATGCACAGTATTTTGTTCTACGTACATTTAAATAGACGAATTCCAATGCTGCCACTTTTGTGAGAATCGCATTTCGCCACCGAGTCACTAGTCAGAGCTGCCATTTCCGTGTAGGTATAGTAGATTGTGCGCGTCAGTTTTACTCTCATCGTTATTTTCCCTCCTTATTCTTTTTTTCTTGAGCCAGAGCAGAGGTCCTCTTATCAAAATATAGCTACAATGTGTTCGGCCAGTCGGCCACGTGCCATGATATCGGATATCGGAAAAGGTTTTCCATATATTGAACTCCCGCCTACGCGTCTTGTCGGAACAGAAAAACCACCATCTCTAACAAAACGCACAACTATACTTACTTAGTCACGTTTTTGGTCGCATTTTAAAAAAACGGAATCGCACATTGCTTCGTGCCGATCAATGTGGCCTTATTTTCATTTTCGCTTTATCCTTATTGTTTGATCGGTTTCCGAGCCGGCGATAATGACTCAGACCATTGATACATCTAATTAAATGAGATACGTAAATAGGCAACTAACGGGCAATAAGATTCACCGCAGCCTTTTAACATGCAACTATTGCGTTCCTCGTGTACGTGATTTGGCCTACCTCAATAAATGAAGGCAAATCGCTCCGCGAGGCTCTACTTGTAGTTTTTAAGGATTTTAACTAACAATTTAAAGTTGAATCAACAATTCTAATGAGGATTTCATTTTTCTCTTCTGTTTAGCGGGCCATATCAGCCGATACCACAGTCGCTACCGACACAAAACCGGCAGTGAAAGAGTGTCTTCACAGCACACCTTGCGGATGGGCAGTCTACACTCCTTTCACTAGGAGGACGGATTACTACATGAAAAACACGTAAGTGATGGTTAAACAACATTCTAAATCTGACTATGCATACTTACATTGAAACCTTTTTGAGGGGAATCGTCTTTTCAGAAGAAGGGGGCAAAACGGAACACGAACACTCGCTTCCTCTATTGAATGAAAATTGTTTACACATAGTCTACTTAAAATTCTGAGGGAGTTTACGATCGTGAAGGCTATTTTGGTGTACAGTCTGTGAAAATTGCCGTTGATTATCTATTAAAAAATCAAAAAAAGAAAAAAAAAATCAGGAAATGGGCGTTATCCCCCCCTCTCCTACCCTTAAGGACCCGTTTCTTTTCAAAATTTAGTTTGGGATGAAATTCTGAGATACCTGCCTATAAGTGGTGTGAAACCATTATTATCATTTGTCCCAGGTACTTATCCGTCTTAACTCGAAGACCTGTAAAAAAATTTTCCAAACTTCTTAGTCCAAAAAGTGTAGGTAGCGAAATGTACAACATTTATTATTGCTGTATATGTCTTGACATGCTGAGATATTCACCATTAATTCTTTGTTTCCAGGTGCGAATGCCCAAAAGACAAGAAATGCCAACAAACTGATGACAACCTATCAGCAAGTGCCTATGTCTACAGGTGCCGGATACCTGAACCTCGGAGTAATAGTACGGATCTGGAGGTGGAAGTCTAGACAAGCCTAAATCTTTGGTGGTGAATAAGAATTCAGACTTAAATCCATACCCAATGTTTAACCACATTTACTAAGTAAAGTGGTTGACTTGTTGGATCCACAGATTAATGTGAGCAAGTGCATTATCTGTGTAATCTTCTATTTATTTCGTAGAATTGAAGAGATAATTTTGTTTAATTCATCTCTCATGCAGGCCCTCATCCGACAGCGAGGAGCAAGTGAGTCCTGATGAAAAATAAGTTCCTTTACCTAGATACAGAGTAAAAATAATTTATTGTTAGTTTAGATTAGTTTAGGAAATTGTATGACTAAATTATGCATGGCAGATTATTAATTTTGGTAGACTAATTTTTTTTCTATTTTTGACACATTTAGTAATAATTTAGCTACAGTTATTTAATACTTAATTTATTTCTAGCAAATATCAGGTTTTTTTTATGTAAGTATGGTCATTTTCTACGGTAGGTACTCCAAAGAGCGCACCCACGCATTTTTTACGCCACCTTTTAACTTCCTACCTACTTGATATTCCATTTCCTAGATTAGATAGGTAGGTCCTTTGTTGCTAATAACGCTTTGAAGGCATTGTGCAGTAAAATTTTATCCCATTTCATTTTTCACATTCAAATTATCTTCAGTGGTATTTTTAATTGCAAGCTATTTTCTTCTTCATCTGGAAGTTGAATAAGGTATGAGCCAATGAAACTGATTGAAACATGCACCCACAGAATTTCCTTTCTGTCCTCATATAATTCTAAACTCTGATTGATAAAGTTACTGTCTCGTTAATAAACAGTTTCCCGGTGAAATACATTGACTGATTTACAGGCATTGATGAAAAGTGCTAGTAATAAGCTTTTCACTGAAATGAATTTGCATGCAAAAATGATGTAGGTAATTCATGACAAATTTTGGTAGTATTAATTTAAAGGCTAACATAAGTTGCTTTGAAAAAGAAAAAAAAAAAAAAAACCATGACTCTGTTTATTGTACAATTTATCACACACCATTACATTCTGCAGTGAAGTGGTGCACTGGCCATTTGAATATTATTGGTACTTAAAGCAATACTCTGAGAATCGGATGCAGCTCTCTTACTTACACCTTCGGATTACTTTTTGCAGTAAGGTATTACTATTTCTGACTCATTTTCAAAACAACACGAGTGCTGTAAGTTTCCCTATGAAAGTACCTAGGTGCTTTTATGGATGAACCAGAAATACTGAGTATTTTCTTACAGCAAAATGTAGTCCATTTCGGCATTATTATTTATTTTTCCTCTAATTTGAGCGTAAACTAAAAGTCACAAACCTAAATTATTATTACCTTAACCAACTGCTGCTGCAGATGGATTCTCGACTTTTTTTTCCAGTTAACATGGAAGTGTTGATATCTAAAAAATTGAGGGAAATTAGCAACAAAAACCAAAAACAGGGAAAAACAGCATTTCAAAATCAGACTATTGCTTTAGTTTAAGTTCGCAACTATGTTTTTTACTTTTATATCTAGTCACTTTAAATTAGCTTTGAAAAAATCTCTAGCACTAAAAACCAGTACTGTCTTTAGCATGGAAAGTGATCTCTTCCTAACTTTTCTCCAGTTGAAGTGAAAGAAGAGACAGAGGCAAAACAAGCCCTTGGGCGACTTCATGCTATTTACGAAACAGTTCAGTTTTTAAAAATTGAATAACCTTCATTGGGGAAGTAAATTTTATCTTTGACTTCATCAGTTCACTATTGAGTCGTTAAAATTTTTCTGGTAAGAAGCCCACGATAACCAGCAAATTACCTGCAAAGTTTTGTAAATGCGATTTAAAGCTAGAGCTTGGATTTGTATTTGTTTTTTTCAACTTTCAACACAAACTTTATTTGTATTTTTACTGGTTGCTTAGTTCCATCTGTTGTTTGATTTTTTGTTATGGGATGAATTTCATACTTTTACATTTAGTTGAATACTTTGTACACTCTTAAAACATATTTATTATGAATCTTTGGGATTCAAAACACAAATTAAATTGTGAAGTGAAGCTCAACAAATCAATTAATCGCACCGTTAAAGAATATTTAAGGCCGAAAAATTATCCAAACTATTAGTTTCCCAAGGAAACTCTAAAGCTATAAAACAGAATGATTTTGCTCAAATAACATTGAGACATAATTTAAACATAATGCATGGATTGCAACCGACTATTCTACCATAAATAAAAGCCACCGAATGCTGTTGAATGGGAAGAGGATTTTACTGAAGAAGAGATTCATGTTCTCACACTTGTAACAGAAAAATAAGAATAAGAAGAAAAAGACGCCCCCACCCCCTGATTTTATTTCTAGTGCGTTTTTTTGATTATTAAAATGTGCTCTTCTAACACTTATGCATCACTCAGTTGATAATTAAATATTTGCACAGATCCGTTAAATTGACAAAAACTAAGAAGTTTCTAAAATTTTCAAGATTTAATAGGTAATGGAGGTGAGATTTTGTTACATGACTGAGTTGTTTTTCTAAATTATCTCATTTGGCTCTTATTTTCCTTGGAGAAATTAAACATACTTGAAATAAAACAAAGAATTAAAACTTCCAAATATGAAAACTAGAGGAAAATTAAAACCATTCATTATTCATATCTTGATATCGATGGTCAAAGTGCAAAACCACTTAATTAGCCAACTTCGCAGTTTGAAATTTATACAGAATATTCTGCCAGCAGAGTAAAATATCAAGGAAGTTTTCCAGAAATTACGTTGACTAGTTTTCAAGAGAAAAAATAAAGTATGATAGGAGGTCTGCAACGTCTTAAACGGAGGTATGTGGTTCCCCACTTTGGCCATCAATATGCAATGTATCAAAATATGCAATACCCTACTGCTTATTTGGTAATGATAATGATGGCATGAATCATTTTCTAATCCCCACTTTTTTTGTACTTGTACTTATTTTGACTGAGAAACACTTAATATTATTATTAGTAAGTAGTAGCATTTCAAATTTAGTTCATTTCAGGAGTACTTAAATCACTTCTGTAAGAACACCAGAGATTCTATTGGCATTTGTATTCTGGGAAAGTTTTAAAATTTAATGACAAGTTCTACTTGAAGGTGCATAATTTTGAAAAGGAAAGAGATCCACAAGATCATTTGTATATACACACACATAGATTTTAGAAAGATTTATTATAGTTTTAGTATTTTACACCACCGAGGTTGTTTAGACACCATCTAGCTGATAGTATCATATCTTAAGAAGTATTTGAAACAATTCTAATTTATTTGTTTTTACCCAAAAAATATAATTTTTGGAACATACCTAATTTTTAATAATTTATTGTTTTGTTTCTTCCTATCATTTCTTTTTCTGTTCCAATAAATATCACATTTTGTTGAAAACGAACATTTTACTTGTCATTTCGCCTCCCTATTTCAACATTTATTCAAATGATTATTGCAACTAAACCTTATGGTGATTCTAAGTGATCTAGGATCGAGATCCATCTTTACAACACACTGCTCCATAGTCAGTGTCTTATAGATGCAATGATTATCGTAATGTGCAAGATAATGCAGTAAACTGATCCATGACAGGTAGCAACATTAATACTAAAAAGTACGACATCAAACGTGGGGTTCATTGAAAATTCATCTCCGAAACTACTCTTTACAAATACGCTGTCACTCTCTTGTATCGAATCAATAAGCAACCTTCGTTGTGATAGTTTCTGATATAAATTGTCCATGAATCCTCACAAATTTGATGTCATACTACTTGGTATTAATGCTACTACTTGTTGTGGATCAGTTTCTTGTATTCATTTGTGAATTATGATAATTTCTGCCCCTCAAAGTTACAGATGCTATAGCAGTGCGGCGCAGTGGCAGATCTCATCTCTAAATCACTTAGAATCACCTTAGGATTCTGATACAGGTGCAGCAGCCCTACATTAGGGGTACACTCCAGTGCCCAATCCAACAGTATTTTCCAAAAATGAGTTATGCATGAGCTGCAGCCTACTTGCAACAGTTTCATAAGCAGTTAGCATCAGTTGGGAAAATCTTCCAGTTAAAATGACTTCTAATCCACAACTAGCAGATTTAAAGCCTAAATAGCCGTCAGACTGCTGTTTCAAAGATGCCTGGCCTTGCCGCTGGCTTAAATCTTCCCACTCAGCCTTTAATTTTTCAACCCTGTTACGGATTATTGCACTAATGCTGAGATAGTTGATGGTAATTTGAGTTGCATTCTAATTTTCAATGATTGCTTACCAAACTAAAAACAACTTCAGGATTAAAAGATGTTTTTTAGATATGACTGATGAGAGAGAGTATAGTTTGAAAGATTGACCAAGAGTCTTCATTTGCTCGAATGGATAAGAATTTCACTTCTATAAGACGTGTAAAACCCCATGTTCATCAACACTTATTGAAGTTTCCGGCGTTGCATGCTGGTAAGAGGGCTTTAGAAGAATCTTCATACAAAATACGGAGCCATGTGGTCATAGTCAAATCCCCAATGGAGCAACACATTGATGATTTTCATTTCTTGGATTTTTAGGTTTACTTGGTCAAATGACTTTATCTGGAGGTAAATGTTCATTCAGAAATTGAAGGGCAAAGGGACCTTTCATTTCTCTGGTCAAAACCTTAATAACGGCCTTGAAGATACGTGAATAAAAGAGGCAACATGAGATGGCAACCAGAAAAAAACAATACAGCACCGTTGAACGATTGAGTTTTAACTTTCACAATATTGTAGCGACTCCAAAGAAAAGAGTTGATCTTCCAAATAAATCAATGTCACATGTTTACTTTCCGAGTTGAAAAATGATAATAGCTTTTAGATTTTCAAGATAGGTTGTATTAATGCATACTTATATGCACTTCACTCCCAGACTAAAACTCAAATATCTCTTCATTCAATATCAAAACTCAATATAAAAATTTAAACAATTTTGAAGAAAGATAAAGATGCACCGACTCGACTAAAAAATATTTAATATGTTTTTACACAACGATTGAGTTAAAAAATACTCACTTTTTACAAAATAATTATTTACATTTTTGCTTGGGGAGAACAATTTAAGCTTAATAACAATGTCTCAGAAATTTTTGGATTTTAGACCACGAAAGGCAGAAAGGTACCTACTTACAAGTCCAAAAATTGAGTAAAGAGCTGTTTAGAACATGACTTCAGATACATCCAAATTTTCTAGTATCAAAAAATGGCAAATAAAAATTCAAGAATGAACCCTGTACCATTGAATTGACAATTGGAATCTACATCAAATTTGATGGAGAATTTGAACTTAGAACATATTTCCCTTCTCAGGAATTTTGAGCAAGTTGATTTCTGTCTGCTTAACTTCATCCAGTTTGGCATTAATTCAAACCATTTCTCAATCATAACTTTAAAATGATTTAACTGCATACCACACTAAATTTTGGAAAAATCTTGAGGTCTTTGAGGCCTAATTGGACGTATTTCTACCAAACGGAACTATATGCATTATGACGTGAGCCCTGTTATGCATATATTCTCATTGGCCTCGGGGCTCATGTCTGAATGCACATAGTTCTGTTTGGCAGAAAAACGTCCAATTCATCACACTACAACATATACACATACTACAACTACTCCTGAGAGTCACATTTTCTCCGCTGAGTAAAGCATAATAAAAATCCCTGATCTCCAGGATATTGGAAGTAACCAGACGTAAACTTTTTAGAGGCAAAATACTTCATTTCAAAAATAACTGAAGGTATCAAGCAATTTTTTCTGATCAGTAGGATGCTATTCATCTTGGATTATAATTCAAAGAGCAGGATGAAAGCAAAGTTATTCTGTTACAAATGTATATCTTCACTTGATAAATTGACTCCCTTGTAGGAAATGAAACTAAATACCAGTCATAATAAGTATTGTCCTCATGATATTTTTGTAAAGTTACAATAGAATCAAAAAAGAAGAGTATCAAAGGGTTCATGTTTATTCTCTTTTGAGACTTTTAAATTAATGGAGCCTTGACAAATCGCATCAAAACAAACATTATTTCAACCATAGCGAGCAGGCACAGTTGGGGAAAAATTAATGCTTCATACAATAATTGGACTGAATTTTGAAAAATGGAACTATAATTTCTGACTCACTCAAGATAGAGCACAAGAGCTATAATTTTCTCAGTAGAGATAGGAGTCTTTATGTATGAGCTGGAAGTAGCACTCTCTTTGCGCAAAATGTAGTCCAGTTAAAATTGAGCCTATTTTTCTTTACCCCATCCTATATTCTAAAAGATAAAAATCATTATGGAGTTCTGTTGCTCAGTTACCAAACGCATTAAGACATTCATCTTAATGAATGCTATTATGATAAAGATAAAGTTCTGAGAGAGGTTTTACCCTTTGTCTTTCATCATAACTGAATATATGGCCAAAAAAAATCGGGCAGTCAACACATTGAGTATGAATCATGAAAATTACAGATGCTCACATGTTGTATAAAAGTGCAGGTATAAAAATTACAAAAAAAGGCTCTCTGAAAACAAAATGGATAAGAGATGTTGAAGAATCGAATATTCAGGAAGCATTTCTTACTTGGAGGCTTCTGCAAGTTCTCGTTCCACGATTTGCCTATACTGATCAAATCCACCTTCAATACTTTTAACAAAACCTCCGCCACACACCCATAGTTCTTTACACACCATCCTGATCAATCTTTCGTCGTGAGAAACTAAAATCACACCGCCCTGAAAGAAAAATCAAAAACACTTTGAGAATACTGAAGAGATAATTGTACATCATAATTCATAATTGCCAGATGATGCCAGTTGTCTTGTTTTCAAAAGGGAAATATCTGCATCAAACTTTGAACGGAGACATAAAAATTCCCTTAACAACAACAACAACAACAGTATTAATTTGGCTAATCCAGGATTATCAAATGTCAGAACACAATTCCATGATAAATCCAACGAATTTATTGTAAAGGTTGACAGGATGATTTGCTACAGATTCACTTAAAAATCTAATCTGCTGATGATAATATTAATTTTGCTGAAACTCATCTAACTCATCAACTGCTGCATCCTACTCATCTACTACTACTGTAATCATTGTTAGAATTACTGAAATAGAATGATAAGAACTAGAAAAAGTACGAGGTGATTTTTAGCATTAGGAAAAAAAAGTTTCCCAATTCATTCATTTGAACAACTTTTCTCAGCGTTTGTCTTCATTGACACTTTATGAGTTGCTTTATTGTTTCTCTTAGATAGTGAATGTTAATAAGGTTGATACGAAAAATCGCACATTATCATGGGAGACTAAAATATAGACAGACAAGGGTAAAATTCAATTACTTGCAATTATAAGACCCTTCCTCTTATTATTAATTTTCCCATTGCCATCACTATTGTTCAGTTCATTTTGCTTCAAAATACTTGAATCATATCATCGCTCCTTTGACGTAAGGGCGTAACTCTATTTTCACATGAGCCCCGTTTTCGATATAATTTGATGCTTTCTGGGCTCATGTGAAAATAGAGATACGCCCTTACGTCAGGAGACGAGGATATGAGCCATCCATTTTCAATTGCCGAGGGTAATTGCTAGGCAGGGATTCAAATAGGGTCAGGCCATTAAAGTATATGTAGACGTATTTAGCAGTATGTATTCAGGTACATTAAAGACAATAAGAACAAACTATTTTTGCTGGTTAAGGAGAACTTACCGTGTATTTACCAATGGCCTTGCCAAGAGCTTCAATTGTTTCTATGTCTAAATGATTTGTAGGTTCGTCAAGAACTAGGAAGTTGGGATTTCCCATGCACATTCTGGCAAAGGCAACTCTTGATTTTTGACCTCCTGATAAACTGCCCACACTCTGTAATGCGAGATCCCCAGATATGCCAAAACTACCTAGTTGACGCCTGTACTCTTCCACAGTTTTACCTATAATGAAACGCAAAATAAAATAGGGTCATTGATACTTTTTTTCAATATTAATTATTTAGTTTACCAAAGATTTAATCATAAAAGGTAATTAAAGAAAAACAGACACTAAGTATTACAAAATTTTAGTAGGAATTAGGTGTAGGGCTGTGCGAATATTTGCAAATCTTGAATATTTGAGTTCGAATCATTTTTCCAATTTCGATTCGAACACGAACTTAGAAACCTTGAATAATCGAATTATTAGACCACATAGACAAAATATCAAAACTCAAAAAAAGACCGAATATTCGTACATCCGGCCTCATTGATGACGTACTAGAAGGAACTCGATCTGGCACGCAGTTCAAACTACTTATTTTGAGGTTAAGTACACAAAGGCAAATGGTTCATTGCTTCAACCAGCGCACGGCACTTGCACTAGATGGGTCAATTCAAAATTAGTGGCACTCGAGTTCCACCTAATAAGTTATCAACATGGCATACAAATGGGCGAATACACTAACCTCCATAACCTATCCTTCTCCGCCCTGCGCAGCATCCCGGTCTTTACAATATCGCTAGACTGTCTTTGCGCGATCAGCATTGATGTGAAGTAAAACTGAATAAAATTGATTTTCAGTAATCGACAGTAGGCAGCAGTTTTACAGTTCTGCGACAGTTCAATTAATTGCTCGTCCTTAATTAAAGGAAACAAGAAAACAACTCCAAAGCTTTAATTAAGGCAAATCGATTATTATTGATCTTATTATCTATATTAGTAATTTCTTTATTCAAAATTTGAATGTTGGATAGAAAAAAATTATTTTTTCGATTTTTGATTCCACCAACATGGAGGTTGGTTTTGGTCAAAAATAGGTGAAAACTAAAAATATTCGATTCGATTTGAATTCAAAACTTATACAAAATATTTGATTCAACATAAAAAAAACCATATTCGCACAGCAGTCATAAGATGTTATGCACTATTCTTCAGTTTTATATTTTATTTAGTTAGTTGAATTACCCATCATTGACAGCTGTATTTTATTACTCCAATGATGGGTGAAGCCTAACCGAGGGGAGTGGGCGTACACAAAAACCTGCTTGAGAGCAGATACGCTGTTAGCATTCTGCCTCCCTGTGATTAGTTAAAAAAATTGTAGCTCAGTCCCTGATCGTCCCGGGTTCCTCATAGACAAAATAATAATTTGCATATTCGGCTCTCAATGGTCCAATCTCTCCTGACAGGGGACCATTGAACCAATAATAGTCAGATACTGCAAAATCAGCATTTTCTCTCAAAATTCCTGCTAAGACTGAAATGGAACGAACAGGGTACAGCATTTTGTCAATTTTGGTTGGTCTGTGGCAGCGGAGCGTACCTTCGTTTCACTTACCTTGGGACAAGGGTATTGAGTATTGAGGGCTACCAGACTGAGCATCACTAACCTGGATAACTTGACTGTAAAAGTTCAACAGAGGAGACATTCATTTCCAATTGATCTACATGGTGCTGACTGAAATAACCGAATTTTAGATTTCTGTGGACATGCCTTGAACCTGACGTTGGACTAAGTATGCCCATGATGATTTTCAGCAGTGTTGTTTTACCAGCTCCATTGTCACCCACCTGAAAAATTTACATTTACAGTTGAGTAATTTACATTGCAAACACAAAGAAATATTTTGAATCTTAAACCTAGTGTACGATGAAACTTCCACTTTGCCCTGATCAGCAAAGAATCAAATTGCATTTGGACGTATACTTTAAAGTTTTTCCAATTGGTAGGCTACATATTAAAAACTTTTGCAGCCACTTTCTACAATGATAGCTGACTATTAACCCTTCCATTGCCACGCTATGAATTGCGTACTTAGATTTACACAACGCACACTTGCCAAGAATACTAAGAGAATTTTTTTTTTTTTTTTTTTTTTTTTTTTTTTTTTTTTTTACATAACCTTGAAAAACGATTTTCTCTCAGCGAAAAAATTATCCCATCTCAAAAACGTTGTATCATAGCAAACACAGCAAATTTTGCGCTATGTAACAATTTTCAGGCAACGGTAATGACTTTTCAATTCTTTGAGCTCAAAACTTAGAAAAATGCACATACAATTGTACATTTCACTGTAAATTTAGAAATTCTTCCAGGAAATGAATTTAGAATTTTGCTATGATGCAAAAACACCACATAGTGAGAAACATGTTTGAAACTTTTTACACCTATCTAATTTTCTTCAAGGACTAATAAAAATTAAATAAAGGATAAAAATAAATAAATCAATCAAAAGAAGCTTACTATACATATCCTAGACTCTAGAGTTGCTCCTAAATTGACATCTTTAAAAATAGGTTTGGATGGATCGTAACAGAAGGTGACCTCATTTAATTGAAGAATTGGAGGAGAAAGCGCCTCTGTTTCAGGAAACCTCAGCACCACTTCAATTTCTTTTTCTATTGGTTTCAATTCAGGTCTAAAAAAAAACAAGAAAAAATAAAAAAACATGTATTAAAAAGTGCTACTCATCAAAACGAACAAAGGATGTGCCTTGGTTACAAATTAGTATGTGTGTGTAACGAGATGTTAGAAGATGCTACATCAAGAATCTGAAAGGTAAAGAAGGCTGGGAAAATACACAAACTAAAATATGATTTTAAAAAGGCACAGAAAAACTCCTGTTGGACTGTGTTTTCCTTAAAACTCATTGTTATTGTTTTATATCTATTGGCAATATTGTATTCACTAGGGTATTCAAAGGACGAGGTCAATCAAGGTGGATATCTATCAAAGCAAGAAAAATGTGAATGTAAACACGCCAATTGCCATTATGTGGTTAGAATAATCGTCCTGTCACAAGTGTTTTGGCGGATTGGTGTCGGCTATGTTGAATTCCTTGTGGGCAGGGGTTGGATGGAATGACTTCTCTAACGAAATTTCCACCTGTGCTGTGGTATCCTTTTTGAAGCGGGCAGCTTAAAAAAACGAAAATTTCTTGCACAGATTGTGAAGTAAGGAGTGCATTTCAGACTTTGCCGATGCGCTCATGATTTTTGAGAAACTTTCTATGAGTAACAACTTTAATTTTTGCTCTGGCAAAAATTTGAAACAGGTCCATTGTACATTTTATGTTGGTTCTTAGAGTTACTCCCAAGTTCTAGGGAAGTGAAGTTTCCAACTTATCTATTCCTCTATTTTAATGTAGTCACCTTTTCTTAATTTTTTTCTGACCTAATGATGGCCTAGATAGCTCTTATCTTGATACCTAATTGTAATTCAGAGCATGAGTGTAAGAGAGAAGTTTACAAAGTTCATGAGGTGAAGAATTTAAAAGTACTTTGTAACAAAGAGGGTAGAATTTAAAACTGAGAAATTTTTTTGCTTCTGAGAGTGGATTCTTTAGCTATCCATAATTATTTATTTTCAGTTCTCTTGGTTGAAATTATTGAACTAACTACAATAGGCTTGTATGTTATTAAAAAATGTAGGTTAAAAATTTCTTAACTTCCCCTTACCTGCTATAGTTTACTACGTGCATTTCAACAGGTCCAGTAAACCAAAGCAAGTGAAAGGAAGCTTGGATTTTTTTAATAATATAAAACTATAGCTTCTCCTGTTTTGAAAACTTTCAGCCGTATTTCCAGTTACAATGGGCTTGTTTGAAAAACAGGAACAAAGACAAAAATTGGAAAGAGGACTTACAATTTTTCTAGCATTTTAATTTTACTCTGCACACTGGATGCTCGGTTTGCATTGTATCGGAACCTATCGATGAATTCTTGGACATGCGCTCGGTGCGTCTGTTGTGCTTCAATTTCTCGTTGTTGATTCTTCAGTTTCTCTGTTTTGGTTTTCTCAAAAGCTTCATAATTACCTCGATATGACTCCAACCTCTATAAAAAGCAGACAAAATATTGGTACTTTCTTAATTCATAGTTTAAAAAAAATAAAAATATGACGTCATATGGAATTATATGGTGAATCCCTTGAGAGCGAGGAGGAAGAAAATGAAAATGCTGTTATTTTCCTACAGAACCAAGCTCCCTAAAGTCTTGATGATGCTATGTGCTATTAACAAATAATAGCACAGCATGACCAGATTTAATTTACTTCTAGATATATTTTAATTGTTCCCACTTTGGGGTAGAACTTTTAAGTGGGCAGTTTAAGCTTGCTTTTTGAAAGAATTTTAAAACGTTCAAAACTTATTCATTAAAGTAAAAAATACAAAAGAGGCAGAATACACAAGTGAACTCAGAATGGCGTATAAGGAATAAGCACAGCTTGCTGAACTTTAATGCAAGCTCCCTCTTTTACAAGCTTATAACTATTCATTGCTCAGGAACTGAAGCCTCCCTTACAGCATTGACTCACTTTAATAAAATTGAAAAACTTGTCTATTCCAAAGAGGCAATTCTTTAAAAAAAAACCTAAAATAGATAAATAAGAAAACCATTTTTTGTTTTTTTTTTTCAACATCAAAATACCTTTTTACACTTTCATGAGTTTTAAATCTCTTTATTTTAATGAATTATTGCAGGAGTTAAATGGTTCTTTTCAGTTAGACATTGCATACATTACGTTTTACATCAATGCGTATGAACTATTTATCAAACTTTAAAAAATATTGATGTTAACTTTCTTTCCCAAAGCTTTATTAAAACTTAAATTGTACCTTTTCACAAAAAGGCGCCTGAAAGTCAATGCAGCTAGTGTTGATTTTTGCTGTTATGACACTTTTTGAACCACAGTTGAGAATTCTGAGCATGGCGACTTAACACTTTTGACTAAAACAGCATACGGGATGAGAGTAAATAATGGCTCCAGCTGCATGGACTCAGAGACTCTCGTGTGAGATGGCGTAGCTCAGGGGGGGTAGAGCGTCGCAAGTGCTAGTGCCGACGCAAGGCGTCGCAATAGCAAGTGCCGACACGCGTCGCGACTGCTGTGCAGACGATGGCGTCGCTAGAGCAATGCAGACGCAGGGCGTCGCAAGTGCAGAGCTGACACTCGTCGCAACGGCAGTGCAGACACATAGGTGATGGACGGGAAGAGGCTAAGACAAGAAGAGAACCAAAAGTGATATGAGATGCAATGTCTAATGCTGATTGCTACAAAGGGCACACACAGTTTATACAGTTTTGACTCTGGGTTGATGGGATGAGGAGCGGACTAGTGCCGCTCGATCGCCAGTCTCTCCAAGAATCAGGTGAGACCCTGGAGCCACAGGGATGAGAAGCGGCCCACGGCCAGCTCGATCGCCTGTCCTCCAGAGAATAAAACCAGGGCCCAGCTCCGAGGAGCTCCCTAGGTCTCCGGCTCTGGCTACCCCCTCCACTTGACTCGGAACCGGTCAAGCCTCGCCCTGCGCATGCGCAGAAGGGATACTACCCTTCTGCCCTCTCGCTGGGGGTGTTCCACCGCTGCCCAGTCCCGTGACGTATGGGTTTTTGTCAGCGCCCTCGACTTGGGTGCCAGGTCCCTGGGCACTCTCACACTCGCTAAGAGCCACAAAGCCAATGTAAACTCAAAATTCATGAAGTTAAAGCCCAAGACCCTTAATTACTTCCCAATTTCTGATCATGGATAAAGTTACCTGAGAGTGCAAGTGGAGAATATCTGTTGGTACGGTGTCAAGGAAGTTCCGGTCGTGAGAAACGACCAACAAGGTTGTGGGCCAGTTCTGCAAATAGTTCTCCAACCAAATGATAGCTTTCATGTCCAACATGTTAGTAGGTTCATCGAGTAATAAAAGATCAGGCCTGGAGGAAAATTGAAATTTGATCAGCAAGGTTTGCAAGATATCACACAGAATTTATACGTTTTTCGAAAAATACCAAGGAATTTTAAAGGAATTTGAGTTAGTAAATTCAAAGACTCAAGAAAATCATGAGTCCTTTCACAATTTTGAAGTACTTTCAAGGATTTATAAATACTTAGGAGCTTAAAGGAATGCCTTAAAAATTGAAATTTACTTTCCCTGCATCTTTATCATAGGAGGCGGTAGCCATCCCCGGATAATGTTTGGAAACGACAACAATGGATTTCCAATTACCTACACAGCGGGAAGTAGATGAGTGATGGCCCTTCTTGACACTTATGAAGTATTTTTAGCAAGAGGAAAAATATTAATCTTCCAAAGGACTGCATATTTTATAACGAGATGATGCAAAATTTAAGGGTTTTCAAATTACATGTAAGGGATGACTCCCTTCAAAAAATTCCAATATTGTTTAATAAACTAGACTTTATCAGTTTCACTGAAGGGGGAGAGTGTTCACCTCAGGCAGCTTGCATGGGAATATTAAGTTGAGGCCACAGAGAGATCAAGAGAGAGATCAAGAGGTCAAGAGATCTTTAGTATTTTTGGTCTTTTAAGGTCTGAAGGGGTTTTGATGCTGTCTCCGATTTTGCGTGAGGCTGAGCTGGGCTCACTATCAAACGTAATCTACTGATGAAGCCTAAGAAGATCCCAAACGTTATAGATCTCTCGGCATGACCTCAACTTAATATTCCAATGTAAGCTGCCGGAGCTGATTACCCCCCCCCCTCACCCCCAGTCTTGTACTGGGACTCATTGGAGCTCGAAGTTTTGACTCTAATGCAAATTTTAGGCCTTGTTTTCCCATCAAAATAGTGTGGACCCAGCACTATTTTGCCACCTTGTATAAGTAAATAAGCCTTAAATAAGTCAAAAATTTCAATTAAAGTAAAACATGTTGAGCTCTAATGAGTACCAGCACAAGACCGAGAGGGAGATTGCATTTATAGATACATATGTGTTTTGTTAATTATGATGTAGCAATTGAAAAACAATTAGTCAGCTGAGTCTTGGAAAAAAGGTTCAGATTAGTTGATGCTATGAAATTAATACCTTGAAAAGAGGGCTCTAGCCAATGCCAGCCTCATTCTCCATCCACCGGAAAATTCTTTAGTCGCTCTCCTCTGCATCTCGGGATTGAATCCAAGACCAGCAAGAATAACACTAGCTTTGGCAGGCGCTTTGTCGGCTTCTATTGTTTGCAACTGCGCATAAATTTCACTCAGTTCATCACTGATGTTTGCATCTGTGCTCCTAGATGAATCAATTTCATTAATGAAGAATTAGCCATACATGAGTAAAAATTGAGGAAAAAGAAACTGAATATCAAGAAAATGTATCAAGTCTCTGTCACTTGCAGTGGAAACTGCTCATAACAACACACGTTTATAACAGAATCCTGCTTATGTCGTAATTTTCGCGCGGCCCCGTTTTTTCGCCCATAAGAACAATGTAAAATAATCCTGCATACATCAGAAACGCTTATATCGGAAACCCGTTTATAACAGAGAGAATTTTGGTCCCAAATAGGGAAAATTCCGATACAAACGAGATTTTCTATAAATATGAATATTAAATGATCTTCGAGTATATATGTACCGCACCTACCCAAAGGATAAATAACACGAGTTAATCATGAACTTCAATCTTATCAGATAAGCAGAAGGTCAAAGGTTATGTTAATGAGCCAGCGATGCACGATTAATTGGCCGGCGCACCAATCATCCGTTGACATGTGATGACATAGCAGGTGCATTGTTCTTTGATTGGCTATTGTTTTAACGTCTTGCGTGAAATCACAGATGCTGGCGCCGCTTCCTAGGCAAGAGAAGTAACAATACCGATGACGCCTGAGAGATTTTAACCGCTCATCGTTGCCGTATTCACCCAAAATTTATTAACAATATTTTACATCAGTTTTTAAAAAAAATGACAGCTTGTTGCATGGACTAGTTTTACCGTTTTGTATTTGATGAGAACGAATTTATATCTTCCGCTTATCATAAAATTAAGTACTGCTTGCGATAAAATCAAATCGATCCCAAGAAATCGGGTATTTAGCTGTCACGATGCGGCATTAGGCAGCAAGAATACAGACCAGATGGACCCAATTATCGCAGAGTGAGTTTTTGCTGGATTCCAAATTTTTTTGACAGCCTCCAAAACCTTGTTGAAAATAGCTTCTACTGAAGTTTTGTTTTAGGCACTCATTCAATAGAACAGTTTTACAGATGATGGATGTTGAAATTCTTAAGGTGGTGGTTGGCCAAACACGACCGAAACAAAACTGAGAAAAATTCAATGAAAAAAACGTACCCACTATTACTCAAAGCTGTGAGTTCTTTTTCCCTCTGTAATAAACTTTGCCGCACTGTATCGCACTCGAGAACACTTTCCAAGGCAGGAGTGTCATCACCGGTGACTTCTTGTTCCACGTGCAGAATAGATATGTGTGATGCTATCTTCAGCTGACCGCTAAAAATAAAAATACACAAGACATTATCAGCAGACAAAATCTGGAAAGATTCTAAGTATTAATGATGAACTTTCTTTAAAGTAGGATGTGAACCAAAGTCTAAAACTACACCATTTGTGCCCACTTAATAGGAGGAGCAAGGATTCTTTCATAAAATATGGGTGAAATTCAAGGAAAATATTAAAGGTGATTCAAGATGACATTACACTAAAGGAAAATGAAAGGGCTCTGGTAAGTATAACAGTGTCTGGCTACAACAGGCAAGACGTTGAGAGTCTGCAACTAAGTCTTGGACAAGAATCGGAGGGAGGCACAGATTTTTCTGATAATTTTTTGAAAGTTTTGATAAAAATGTCGACTAGAACTGCTAACTACAAAAGTAAAACGGAAAAGAAGGTCTGACAAAGAATGACGTAATTTTTCAAGGAGGGAATGCAGACTTTCCCTAATGGATATATGACGAGCGGAGGGACTGATTCTATCATTATGAGTTGATTGAGTAATACCTTGATATCATCCTCAGCAAAGTAGTTTTACCGAGACCATTTCGTCCAACTAAACCGTATCGTCTGCCAAACGCCAACACTAAATCAGCAGCTTGTAGTAAAACCCTGAGGAAACAAATGAATAGATATAAAAATTAAAATTCACCCGATGGATTCAAAGAGAGTGGCTGGAAAGGAGTAAAACATTTTTAGTAGTACACACAGGAATTGAGAGGTTGCAAAAAAAAAACAGAATAAGAAATCTAAGAAATACACTGGAGCCAAGCTGATGATGTCTCTAAAAATGTGAGACATAAAACTCATGAAAGGCAACTCTGTAAAGTTCAATACACGTTTCAACAAATAGTAGCACTGTAACCACAAATAGAGATGGTATATACTCGGATCTCATTTCTACAACTTCACCTTTCCTGTTTAGAAGTGAGTACTTGCATCTAGATGTATCTGCATTTCTAGCTGCCTGACTATCAATATTGTCAGCTTTCCCTCGTTTTGTGTTGGAAGATGTCTGCAGCGACTGCAGATGGTGCAAAGTGCACTCTACTGTCATGCCTTGCATCATGTTCATGACAGCGCTTTGGTGCCATTTAGGAATTTGCGGGATGCTAAGTTGGGCTCATTGGCCAGTGTGAACTACTGATAATGTCTGAAAAGACCCACGCTCAAATTAACTTAGTATTTCAGTGCACCTGCATGAGTGAACATTCTCTTGCACTGATACTCATTCTCATTAGAGTTCATTTTTTGGCTCTAAGCTAATTTTAACCTTGATTTGTGATTTCCTTGCAGAATAGTGTGCACCCAGCATCATTTTACCATCCTCTTACTTGCAGGATTCCAGCCACATTTTGTGTTTTTTCTTCACGTATAAATTATATTTATTGATGGTAGGTAGAGGTATTGGAAATTCTTGACTCCACACCATAACAATTGACGGTCCTAGCTGCTAAAGATGTCTCAATTTAACCAGGTTGAGCAGAAATTAAGCAATCCACATCAGCTATTGCCAAATTTAATCGAGCAATTTGATTGCTAATAATTACATGAAAACAGTTGTGCGGATTTTTGTGCAAATAGTTTTGTTCTGTATAGTATGAAGCAAATCCTTAAAATTTTCAAAGGAAAGGAATCTGCACAAACATTCTCTTTCAAAAAATTAAATTGCCCAGTTTTTGGCAATAGCTGATGTGACTTGATTCCTTTTTGCTAAGCGCAGTCCAATTAACCTCTTTAGACCATGTGGTTGCAAGAGAACAAGATAACAGCCTAATGGTGTCATCTGTTTTATTTCACTAAAAAATAAATGAAAATAAAAAGAAAATATTAAAAATAAAAATGATGTTGAGAGCGAGTAAGAAATAAAAGGTAGGTGAAAGAAACTTTGCTACCTTTGAATGGAACTTAATCTGTACTCCCTAGATTACTTCCAAATTTTTTACATCCATCGAAGTTCCATTGTCAGTTTCCTTAATCTTACGATTGAAATATATCATACCTATCACCAAAAGCCACATCAAAGTTTTCAATTCGAATATCAGCTGCTCTATTGGTGCCTCTTGCTTCCATTCGTGCTTCCTTTTTGTTTGTCACCTGAGACGCTGTTGCTGAATTTGTTCTGACTGGAATGATAGTCGGTTTCACCTGATCCCGTTTGCCTTGTTTCTGTTGTAACTTAGCCTCAGCTTTTTCTAATTTTTTGGCGTCTACTTTCTGGAAGTTAAAGAGGAGACATGATTGAAATTTGAGGTGGGTGAAGCAAGTAGACTGAAAAATCTACTGCCATTCAACTGCTTGAAGTAGAGGATGAATTTTTTTCTTTGAGGACACAATTATGTCAATGGATGAGAATAGAGCTGCAGCACCAATTTTCTCTTTTAATTCATTTTTGGAAAGAGCATCAGAAATAAGAATGCCTGCATTTTTCTGTTTTTAATTCTATCAAAATTTAGATGCGAAACATCTTTTCAAAGTTGCAAAAACTCCAATCCCATTTCAAACAGGAAAATATCACACCAAAAAACTTGTTTCATCACAAGAAGAATTTGGCCGCCATGTATCATTTCACCCGCATGTGTTTAATTATTTTGGGTCACAATTGTGACAAGAGGTTATATGTCTTAACCATGCTTGCAATATTATGACTGTTGGGAGTAAATCTTACGTCTTTCTTGAAATGAGATCGTTTGTTAGTGATTTTGATTGTGCGGCGGCCATGTTGCATTACATTCAAGGTGGTTGAAAACATGAGTTGTCATCCCATTTGACATAGGCTTCAATTAGAGACGTTCTTTTATGAACTTCAACTTTAAACTTTGTTTCCTCAGCCAAGAAAGTTGTTTTAAGCTTTTTAAAACTCAGAAACGGATTTCTTGCTAAAATTTTTACTATGTGCACCTATGTCAAAGGTAATTTCTGGATCTTGCACAAATCCATTTGTTTGATGTCATTCAAGAGATATAAATCAACTCAAAATTTAAGAGAACCATCCTGTAACAATCAAATAAGTTTTTTAAAAACCTCTAGCCTACAAAAAAGAAGAAGAAAAACCCAAGGTTTTACACCCTACCTCATGGATGGATAAAATTTTACAGAAAATAATGAAAACTGGTTTCTTGCAACAGGAATTATATAAATAGGTTGGATTTTTTTATTTTCAGTTTACATAAGCATTCTATCGGGCTTTGAATGTATAATTTTCAATCAGTTATCAAACTACTATATTTAACTAGACTTTACTTGTATTAAAATTTCTGATGGCTAATATATGTTCCAGAGAGGAAACTATGGGTCAAATTTTTTTAAATTCTTCAATTAGAGCATCGCATAATCATAGAAACAATTTAAAAAACGTTTCATTGAAGCACATACATTTGCTTCAATCACAATGGATAAAAAAATTCAAAAGAGGAAATTCTGATGCAAGTAAGTAAGACCAATAAATTGGCTTAAGGTAGATTTGATAGCTGTTTCAGCATTATACTGATCAGCCTGAACAAAAGTCTCCATTCTTCAGCATTAGTGCTTTTTTTCCAGTCACCAAGGTCAACCATTAGTTTCTTATTTGGTATTACTTGATGTTAATTATGACAGCAATGATAACTGACCAGAACATCATCCCTTTGCATGACCCATATACTTTTGATATCGTCCATGTTCGTTTCGAGATTGGCAGCCATAGTCCCCAGATGAACAGGAGCATTGAGCACTTTGTTGGTGCCATTTTTTAAAGACATTTCTGGTTTTAAGATATTCAACAGCTTATCACAAATGTCTCTGGAAGATAAAAGCATACAAAGAAATTAGCCAAAATAATACATTTTGCAACACATAAATTTATTATTTATTTATTTATCTAGTCATCTACAGGTGATTACAAAAGCTTAAAAAAAAATTACACTGGTACACTGGCCGAAAGCTTAGCCAGAATTTCATCTGAACATTGCAAAAATTACGCGATTTTCCCGGTTGATACTTTAAATCCAAAGAAATTACGCGCTGTTCATTACGGTAAATTCGGCAGTAAATGCGCGATTTTTCCAGCGATTTATCAAAAGAATCATAGAAATCCGCGATAATGACCGCAATATCGCAGAAAAAACGCGATTTTTCCAGCGGTTTTGTGAAATCGTTAAAAATCATGCGCCATTCCCATCAATATCGCGGTCTATAAGCACATTTTCCGGCGGTTGAATACGAGAACAGAAAGGACCACGCAATTTTCACCTGAATATCGCGGGAAATACGCGACTTTTACGTCGACGCAAACATACTATTCATGTACAGGCGGCGCCAGAAATTTGAGATAGGCGAAAACCTAAGATTCTCCTTCAATTTTGCGTGATACCACATACCGACTCCGGAGTTCGAATAGTTGCTCGCTTGATTCCCAGCTGTTAAGAAGTGAGGGATTACGCGAATTTCATCTGAATATCGCGAAAATTGCGCGAATTTCCCGGCTGATTCGAAATCCAAGGAAATTAAGCGGCTTTCATCTCGGTAGCGCAGTAAGTGCACGATTCCGGGATAATGACCGTAATAATATCGCGGCAAAAACGCGATTTTTGCAGCGGTTTTGTAAACTCATTAAAAGTTATGCTTCATTTACCTCAATATCGTGGGGTCCATACGCAAATTTTCTAGCGAATGAATACGAACATACAAGATCACAAAATTTTCACCTGAATAAGCTAATTGTAAGCTATGCTCGTGGCAAATGTAAGCGTATTAAAAAGATGAAAATTGGACTAGTTTTTACGAAAAAATAAAATAGTTTTTACAAGAACAAGAAAAACAAAAAGAAAATAACTGGTTTTTTTGAACATACCTTTTAATACATACATTCTAAGGCTTGCAAAAACCCTTCCATTGCTTTTTCGGAGAGAAAAATTTCAGTACCTACTTATACTTTTAGATTGTCCATTTCAGAAATACTTGAAAATATTACAACATACCGACAGAAGGAGAGAGATTTTTTACTTTTAACTTTTTACTTTCAACATTTACATTTTAGAGTTAAAATTTTCACTGTTTAGCTAATTATACTCAGGGCCGGATTTACCTACTTGCCGCGTGTATTTTGCCGCCTCCATTTTATTCGTTTTGAAACATCAATAAAAACCATTAAGTGAACGTGCCGGAGGAGGAGGGGCGGTGCATAAGACGTGTTAACTCGTGTTTGACACATTTTTTGTGAAAACCCGGTCAAAACTAGCAAAATTTCACGAAACTTCTCGCGAAAGTTAAGTTCCGTAAACCTATCTCTGCGAGGACAAGGCTTTTCATACATGAGAAAAGAACGCAAAAATTATGAAAGGATAAACATGAATGAGTTTAAATAATTTTAATTTCTGCCACCGCGCAGACCGCGCTGCGTTTGGCGCAATGCGTGAAGTGTCCCTACAGTCTTGTAGGCATGCGTTTCACGCCGACCGCTGCTGACCGCACTGTTTTTGACGCAATACGTGAAGTATTCATGTAGTCTTGTAGGCGCTATGCGTTTTACGCCAACCGCTGCTGACAGCACTACGTTTCACGCTAACCGCTGCTGACAGCACTACGTTTGACGCAATGCGTGAAGTATTCATGGAGTCTTGTAGGCGCTAATAAGTGTTTCATGCTGACCGGCGCGCTGAGGGCTTCTCCATTCCATCTCAAGTCCTCGTCATCATTGCTCTCTGCGCCGCGCCGCTCCAGGCCAAATTGCGTTTTTGGTTTCTCTCTCAATTAGACTAATGAAAGGTGCTGTCTCTTGTATCACCGAAAGACGAAAAAATTAGAAATTATTATACTTTAACGCCCAGGAAATGAGAGATTTTGTTGCCTTTCCTCGTTTGAAATTTTTTTTCTACATCCGATTTTTTTTTTTTTTTTTTTTTTTTTGATACCTACATTTGAAAAAATTTCAAAATATGCCGCCATGGGCCACAGTCCATGTAGCCACCCCCTAAATTCGGCCCTAATTATACTCAGTAATTACTCTAAAGAGTACATTTTGTTTTGACAGACCAAGCCTCAGGCTCGGAACCGCAGCCAATCTCTCTGAACTTTCCCTCGGACTTTAAGTCTCCTTGGTTTGAAAATTCATAGGAGGAGTGAAAGAGGGAATTAATCGTTCAAGAGCTTTTCTATAAAATTCTTCAAAAGAGAATTATAGGACAGTTAATGGAAAGGAAATATGAGAGTAAAACACCAATTACAAATCATCAAAATTATTGAACAGTTAAATATGCACCGGACAATAAGAGTCACTTAAAGAAATATAAGGAAACTGAAATGATTAAAACATTTAGATAAAGTTTCTCAAAAGATGCAAAAAGTTCTTTGGCATACATAAAAAAGTTTGTACATTAGAAGTCCTGCAGACCTGCATTCTGTCCACACAAAAAAAGCATTAAAAACAGGCTGGACTTGTTGCAGTCCCAATTAATTTAAAAACAACTATTTTTCACCTATTCTGGGAGTCAAAAGAGAGCCACTTACTTTATATCTTGTTCTGATTTCTCTACGGCAATTTCATGGAGAACTGCACCAATTGCATCATATAGTTCCTCTCCATCATCAATATCATCTGAGTTACTCAGTATGCCTGCTCAACAAAAACAAAGTTTAATTTTAGAAGAATAGGCCCTTATTAAATATGTAAAGCTACCGTACTAAGATTTTATCAACATTTTACAAAAAAACTGTCAAAGCGATTTCCTTCAAACTTGGCAAGAACGAAGCTAAGAACCACCCAAAAATGTCTAAAAAATCAAATTTAGAAAAAAATGCCGTTGAAGCCCAAAAAGGAGAAGAGTTGTTTCTCCCTATAGTAATGCATTGGGGATGCGAGGTTGTTTATGCACACCATGCTGAAAAGATTTGATCGTGTTGTGTGACGTCCTGGCATTAATCAAGAAATTTCAGGTATTAGGGGTATTTCTGGACGGATTTTTGTGAAAATTGGTGTCAAATGGTACTTTTTGACGAGAAACTCGAATTTATTGTCAGATTTTCAAAATTCCAAAATCCAGGATGGCCGCCGTGGCAAGCCAAAAGTGGCAAAGATGCTGTCTTCTGATTATCATTATTTTGAAAATTAATTGCCAAGAGGGGCGGCTCACTCGTTGAACTTGCCAAATAAAATTACCACATGAGCTGTTTCCCTGTAAAAGTGGCTGTATTGTTCTGAAAAAGTTGGATCATGATTTAAGTCTGAGCAGATACGTCAGTTCACTAATTTGAAAAGCCTAGAAAATAATTATTGGTAGATTTAAGTGCAAAAAAATCCTACTTGGGGTTGGGGGAGCGTCGTACCTCATATGACCACTAGTACTAGTTCTTCAGGAGTGACTGCATAAGTTTGAGGCAACATGAGCCTCAAAACCACACTAACCCAAAATGCAATTCCGCGGTGAAACTGCCAGACCATTTAGCTCACATGCGATGTTTGAAAGACTCAACTCCCATTAAATTCTCTTGAAGGAAAACAAATCAATATCATTTATTGACGTTTCCACAGAGTTTTTTTTAAGTACACTGAGAAGAAAAATCATGGAAGTTTTCAAAATTGACATGGAGTAGTTCTCCATTTGAAAGATAAAGTATGACAAGAAGTCTGCAGTGTTTTTTAACTGAGCTATGTGGTCTGGTTGTTCTATTGTTGAGTTTTACCATCAGACTTCGCATTCTCTTGTTGAGCATCTATTTCATGAAGATAGGAAATGGAACAAATCTGACAAGGTTTTGCATCTCACTACTCATCAGCATTTAAAAGAGAAGCATATAGGTTCTATCTTGCTCATGGTCAGCTCAGCCATGCCATACTCTCGGCAATCCTTGATTTGCTTCTATTAAATTTGACCATTATGACCCTTACTTCCACAGGTCTTACTTTCTTCAAATTTCAAAAGACTTTGACATCCATAAAGTGACCCTCAAATTGGAAAGACAACTACCATAAATCTAATATATTAGTCAACTAAATTGCCATCAATTCTAAGAACTTGCGACTCGCAGTCTGTAGATGCGTGGGAGCCCAGAATCAGGATTGGTGATTTCCTCTGGCAGTACTTAAAACAGCATCTTAAAGCAGATGCTCATACTTCTGGTATAATATGTCACAAATGATTCAATCTTACCGTCAATGTACTGGAAGACATCATCATCAATGCGTGGAAATTCAGATTTTATGATTTCTGCACAGTTTGCCATGCTGCTGAGCGATCGAACACTGAACTGGATAAATAAATGGACACAGAAAAAAACTACTGAGGACGAAATGAATTTCCTAGATAATCACAGAGTATTAATATAAATTAGAGTGAGGAGATAAGAATAATTATTTAAAAAAATATTAGTAGCGCACGGAGTGTGTTTGTGTGAGAGTTATGGGAGCTAACCTCAAAATCTAGCTATTAAAAGAAAACAATTCTATTCACTGTTGCCTTGTTTCCACGTAAAATATGAATTTTGCAATTAAAGAATTGAAGAAGTGAAGTAATAAACGTCGTATTTCGAAATAAATCCTTTTACTTGCAATTTAAACTCTTTTCTTTAATCAAACCAACATATGCAAGTTTTTTCTCCCTCAAAATAATTTAGTATTTTAGAAGAAATACTGTAACATTGCAATTTTGCAATGCATTGCTGGACCAGCGTCGGCAGAGTGGCAGGGGCAGGGGCCGCAGGGGCACAACATCATCACCCTAACCTAACCCTCTCATATTCGCATCCGCACATGCCTCGCGCCGACCGACGACTTATATGCGTCAAGTAACTAACAAATAAGTTTTGGTTGCGTCTAAATTTGTGTATTTTTTGCCGGAATTTTGTTTTACTTATTTAATGTTTTGCCCAAGAATTGTTTACGGAGAGGAAACGAAAGTGTGAATCAGGGGTGTCGTACCATGAGTTTATCGTCTCATTGCAAGCCATCAAGTTTCAATTATGTTCATTTCATAGTATAATTTTATATCAGTATAGTTATTACTGATTGTACAACAATGTTCAGCTTAAAATTGATAACATCCAGATGTGCCTTCCAGTGCCAAAATGGAGTGTGTGTCACCATCAGTCGGACTCAGAAATCAGTTCCTAACAAGCTTATCCTGAAGGACTTTAGAGATCATCCTATATCAGCGATAAGTAAAAAACCACGGAAACCTCCTTTCCTCAAAAACGTGTTCCTGGGTAACTTTGATGCAGAATTCCTGTACTATCCAGAAGTTGGTGAAACTGAGAGATACCAGGCTCTTCAAGGGATTCTTCCTTCTGTCGAGGGATTTTTTTCGAAAGAAGGTATGTGCCTGACATTTAAGCGTTGCCTACGAGAATGGAGAGGCTGTAACTAGTCAGTTTTGTTACGTCAAGCTAGTAGGTATTTAAAGTTTACAACCAGCATCTCCGGGTCATCGTGCATTGATGAATGAGGCAGATGCTGCGTGGACCAATCAGAGTGGCCCTCAATCAGCCAAAGTTGCGTGAGCAGCACATTTGAATCTGAGTGGAGTAACAATTTTTCGGTTTAAGATCTCATTTCCTCAATTATCAGACAATGTTGTACATGGGTCAGTTAGTTTTCTGAGGTGAAATAGTATCCTCTTTTAAAAAGGTTCTTAAAATTTTTGTATCAGATCAACCCCTGAGAAGATATCAGCATGAAAGGAACACACATCAGGCGTTCTCCCTCAAAAGCCCATGTTAAACCACGGCCGCGTTTCACCTACTAGAGTGACGTCACAGGAACGCAGTTACAGTCTCTCCATTCTTGTAGGCAACACTGTAAGCTAGCCAAATTCAGTGATACCTACTTAGTTAGGCAGTGATAACTAAGAGAAATGGAAAACTATCAGCAAAATCACAAACCTTTCGACTCATCTTTGATGGAGGGAACGGATTTTTAAATAACCAACCTGCGCAGTGAAAATTTTCTACTTTTAAAATCGACTATACATTTGTCATAAAGTGTTAATTTATTGAATTCGCACCACTTGCGCCCTTGAGTTTTTTAATAATATTCTTAATTTCCTATTCCCAAGCATCATATTTAGTGTTAGTGTTAGTGTTATTGAATCAATATGGATTTTCTACATAGATGCATTTTCAGTATGGGCTCCATACTTTTTCAAACAGTGGAATTAATTTCACCTGGAAATATCTATAATAGATCCAGTTTGACTGTCCCATTCTGAAAAGGCTCCTTAATGGAAGTATCAATATGGAGTATGATGCATCCATGTAGAATCCATACTTACCTGTACTTAGAGTCCTTCAAACCCTCAAGGAAGAATTTCCATTTAGACTCATCAGAAAAAATTGAATTTCAAGCTCTAATAAGCCCCAAATCAGCACTCAGAGCAGCAAAAGGTTGGTACATGCATTCAGATGGCACCTTTAATGAGCGTCGATGTAGATATAATTGGACCTTTGTCTTAACATGTATGATGAATGAGCTCCTGTTTAGTAGTGCTAAAAATGATAAAGTGTAGCAGGAGGTAATTCTTTGATGGAAACCCTTTTCCTCAGCATAGGAGATGATTTTCTAACTTTCGTGACTTGTCCTGTATTTTTTACCCTCTTGCCAGTGAGAGGACTTTTGAGACTCAGATTGTGAGTCATGACTAATTTTTGCTAACTTTCTAAAACTCTGCATTATGATACAACAGAAAATCTCACTTGATTTATGAAGTACTGTAGAAACAATCAGGAAGTTTACTGTTCATTTTGCTTTAAGTCAAGATCATAAATTTTTCTATCTTAGGTACCGAGCAAGAAGAAAGGAACTATTTTTGACATCTTACAGATACCGTAAGTCCTTGAGGAAAGTTTGGACTAAGACAGTGTATCAAAACCAAGCAACACTTTCACCTTGTCTATGCAGATTTGCACCATGGAAGGAGCTTTAAATTTTTAGTATAGTTACTTCGCCGTCTCAAGGATCCCTCTCAACATATTTTTTTCACTTTATTTTTTATTATTTTTTTGACTTTTAGGTGTAGCTAAATTTTGCCTATTTTTTGCAGTTGATTCGAATAAAATAAACACAGATGGAAGCATACCTGAAGATGTTATATCAAGTCTGAAAAATTTTGGATTATTTGGAAGTATCATCCCCCTGAACTATGGAGGCCTTGCCCACACATGCACTGAGTATGCTAGGATTTGTGAGGAAGTAGCCACAAGTCCATCTATTTTTCTTACGCTGATGGTTCATCAGTCCTTAGGTGCCAATGTAAGTTCTATCGAAATCTTTTGACATTTTAGAATGCTCACTCGAAGGTTTTTACTCCCTGAGAATTCACTATTTTCCTTACTCCAAATTATTTGTGTTCTCAAGAAAAAAATTCTAAAATAGGTTTCACCATTTAACTGTGCAAATGGCCAGTAAACGTTAGAATTAAGAAGGATTGAATCTATTATTCCTTTAAGGAAATCCAAATAACACTGTTCAACAAAAAGAAATGGAAAAAATGTCTCCTGGGCGAGAGAAGGTGATCTGCGAGTATTTTTTTCCATCATCCTCAAATTTTCCAGAAAAACCGATTTTACCTACTCACCTTATCCCCTTGCCTTTTACCTTTTTTTCTGACTTGCATGATCTTGACCAGTCAGAAGAAGAGTCCAAAGATAGAAATTTTGAGGCAAAATCCATTTCAAAGAATCAATTTTATTTCTTCCAAAAATTGATACAATTTAAATACTGGCAGCCAACAATCAAAATTGTTATTTTTTAAGATTCTGAAGACGGAAAATCTCCAAAATCATGTACATTCCTTCTGCAGATGCTTTCTAAATTTAGACAAAAATATTCATTTCAATTGTTCACTGATTAAATTAATTTGGTTAAAAAATAGGCTTTGAAAGTTGATGCCATTTTCCCAATTATTTGCTCTTAAAAAGACCATTTTAAAAAATGATCAATTTGGCATTGCCGTTCTTTCAAGCGACTGAAATCAATGATCTCATAAACTAAACGGTCGAATTGTTTGACAAAAAAATCTCTTCTGTCAGGTTTAATGCAATTTAAGCCAATTAAGTGTCTCTTGGTCTTTTAGGCAATATTTCGGCTCGGAACTGAGGACCAGAGAGTAAGGTACCTTCCGAAGTTGGCATCTGGGGAATGGATAGCCTCCTTCTGCGCTGCGGAGCATCAAGCTGGAATGGACTACTCCACAATGAAATCTTTTGCTGAATTATCTGACGATGGGATGTACTGGACTCTAGATGGGGTCAAAACATGGGTTGTTAATGCAACAAAAGCAGATGTTTTCATTGTTTGCATGCCAACTGAGGTGAGAAATGATGCATCTTTAGGAATATTATTAATTGGTCTCTGATTTAAGTTTGCAACTTGCAGGTACCCATGCACATGCCTTTGTATAGTGCATAATTATGGGTCCTGACCATTCTGAGGAGAATTAAAGCCAAGCAAGCACAAAAATTAAAATTAAACCTTTAAAAACTATCTCCAGAGCTCTAGCTCTAGCTCCAGCCTTTCATCCGTGTCTACTTATGAACAACAGAAGTCTTTCCAGAATAGTTGTGTTTTGCAAATTTAATCTGCCTCGTAAACTCACTCTAGATGTTGGTCAAAACATAACAAAAAAGAATTTCGATTCTTATTTTATATTTTGTTCCAGATGAAGCTTTTTACTGATTACATGATCATTTCTTATTTTAGAAGTTTTTCGCAGTACCTAACTCTGGATGGTTCATACTTCTGGACTGACATAAGACCGCGTTTACATAGTTCCAAAAGATAATTTTTATTATGATGATAGTCTATATTCAACCCCTAGAATACGCAAAAATTCACCTAATTAGGATTGGGTTTGTTACTATGATAGATATTGGCCCTCTTATGTATGTCTTAATGCATAAGTTAGCTTATCATACGAGTAATTCATTTTAATTTTTTTTCTTTTTCCTATATTTTTCATTTTTTAGGGTTCACCGGAGTATGCAAAACTTAATAATAAGCTAACAACTTTCATCGTTGAAAAAAGCAGCCCAGGAATTTCCATTACCACTGAAAGTGTTGGTGCAGTTAAAGGCGTTACCTTTTGCGATGTAAGTTGAAAAATTTTCCTTTTAACGTTTCCCTTGTATCATAAAATGACCTCTTCTGCGAGAGGAAGACTCTTGGTGTTTGTAAAGTACATATTTATTCTCTCAATAACTACAAGGCTCAGTTAGTGTCTGCCAGTAGCAGTTGTTCAGGTGTGGAACCCAAGGAAACAATGTTGGCATAACACCATGTTGCACATTTACATTTTGCAGTTTTAAATTTGTTGCTTTGTTTATCTATTCTCAAAATTTATATTCAAATATAAAAAGCCTCCTTTTCGTAAACAAAATTGTTTGCTTCTAGGCAGTATTGATTTGTTGAACCACCCTCAAAAATACGTTTTAAAATTTTGTTAAATAGATTGATTAGTTGATGTAGATTCATATGTAGATGAGTTTTTTGCTAAAGTAAATATGTGATTTTAAGAAAAGTCGATGACACACCTGCTTGATGGGTACATATATTACACTGTTGAAAGAATGTAATTAGGCATTCAATTGTAAAAACCAATGAGCGTTGAAATCAAATGGAAAATCCAAATAGGTATATCTGCTTTTGTAAACCGTATTCCTAAAAAAACCTTTCTTTTTTAATTTTTGTGTGGATCTAATTTTATTATGTTTAAACTTACTTCAAATACCACTGTCACAGGAATTCTCTGAAATCAGAGAATTTTGGAAAAAAAAAATAAGAGAAAGATTCACAACGCCAGAATGAAAGTATTTTAAGGTCCGGATGATAGGTTTGGTGGCTGAAAAATCGGACCTAAAGTATTTTCAGAGAAATAGGATTGTATGTATATCTGGCACAGTTCAGCAACAATTTCCAGAAGGGGTTGGTCCCTAAACGATAGATTCTGTGAAATCGTGGAGGTAGGAAATTTACATCAGAATGAAGGTCATACCAGGGAAGTATGATCTTGTCAATAGGAGGACATAAGAGAGGTTGCCGTAGAGGATGCTCGATTGGGCTCCATCTCGGCCGTGTCAAGGAAGAACACTGTATGAGCCTCCAGATGTTGCCAAATTTCCCGTGGTAAAACACAAATTTTTCATGGAATATTTTCCATCCAATGTTTCAGGCAATTTTTGTTGTTACATGATCTAGTTGATAATTTTTCAAAAAACACTTTTCAAGGGATGCGCGAGTTTTGATACAGCTCTTCTCTTAGCACAGCAGATCTGGGGGGCAATAAAAAAAATGCTCAGTGAAAGGCTTGAGGCAAAGGGCTGAAAAAGAAATTAGGTAACTCTAGCTTGTTGAAGGTTTTAGGTAGGATGGGGACTGTAACTGTCAATTGTTGCATAGAGCCAAAGAGCACTTCAAAAACATGTATTCATGGAACTCCATCTTAACTCAGGCAAGAAATGACAAAGAGGTAAAATCCAATTCGCCCCCAAATTTACACAAACTAACCTCACCATATAGTTTTTGTATTAATCTATTTTTTTTTCCTTTCATTTTTTTTTTTTTTTGCTCTGTACAGGTCAAGTTTGACAAAGTTAAAGTTCCCAGCAAAAATGTTCTTGGGAGAGTCGGACATGGTTTTAATGTTTGTAACAGTATCACTAATACTGATGCTTATCTATATGGAAGCTTAACAGTAGGTAAGAATGAGACTCTGAAGTACTTATTCTCATACCAAGTGCAACTTTGTTGCAATATCTATATCAATTCACAACATGCTTTGATCAAATGTGTGGCCCAAAGCTCCCTTTTGACTGTTATTCAAGAAAGCAACCGTACACCTACAATCAATGACTTAAAATGACTGAATAATGTCCCTAAGTCACAAGCACCATAGTTTCATAGAAAATAAGTTTTAATTCTTTCTCCTCTCTCCACTCAAAGTAAACAAGCAGGAAGCTCCAACGCATTCGCGTCGGAAAGCGGCTCTGGCGACGGTAGGTAGTTGTTACGCGTTTACGGTTTCCTTGGTAACCTTTGTTTGCTATCAGCTGATGTCGAGTAGTATGACTAGGAAGCTCCAACCACGGCATTCTTCGAAAAAAGCGCGAAAACTTATAGATTTGAATTTTCAAATTTTAAACGTAAAGTACATTTTTTCCAGTGCGAGATTAAAGCACAGACCCGTTTTGAATTATTGACAGTATCACCATGATTCCAAAGATACACTACACAACATAGCATTCGCTCACAGGAAAAAGATATCAATTAAAATAAAATCAGTCCCCCCTAAACAGCAGAAAATGGCGCCGATTCCCATCAACCAACACGCGGTCTCTCCAATGTAACATGGTCCGTTGATACTCCCCAGCTGGGACCGTCCGGAATAGCAGCTCTAGTGCAAGCACCAGAGCCGCTAAAAGAGAGAAACAGGATGTTATATCAGAGCCAGCTTTTCTTAATTGTAACTCCTCCTTCCTGCAGTGGGTCTGCTCCACTCAAGAGATACAGCCAAATATAGTTACTCTTTGTGGACGACATTGCACGAGAATCACGTTGGGGACGTCACAAAAGTCTGAACTCCATTCCTTAGCGAGCAATATACGTAGTTTGTAACACGCTTATTCAAGTTTCCCGCATCTGCGGGTAGTTTTTCTCAGTTTCCGCCAAACAGATTTGAACAGACAGAAGAGTAAGAAAAACTTACCCGAGTAAACAAACGATTTCACAAACTTTTTCTACTGCATGATTTCATTTGTTTTCCAGCATCCACTTCCTTTTTCTTCCTTTATTTTGCAGAAACAAAAGCTTTTAATCAATTATTAAAATCTAACGCAAGGAGTGTTTACAATAGTTTGCGAGATTGTTTATTTAGTTAGGTTAGGTCTCTCTCCGGGCAAACCTGACTGCCGGCCACTTAGAAAAACCGGCTGCATATGCGGTAAATTTGAAAAAGCGTGCTACAAACTACACAGATTGCGCACTGAGGAGTGGATTTCAGATTTTTTGATGTGCCCAAAGTGATTATCAAGCGAATTTACCTTTAGAAAGTGTATTCAGTTGGCTGTTTCTCTTGCGTGCAACAGACCTATTATGGGGGCTCACCACTGCCTTTTTTAGACTTTGCGCAAATATCAAGGTTCTTTTAAGTCTCATTTTTGCCAGTGATCGTATTCGTTTTCTTTTTCTCCCAGGTTTCTTGCGGAAACTATTAAATGAGACAATCCAGCATGTAATCAGTTCCCATCAATATCACCAGGACCTATCCAGCCTCAATTCGGTGAAAAAAATTGTAGCAACAATAGCGCGAAAAATTTATGCTGTTGAAAGTATGACATACCTAACAACTTCAATTTTAGACAAGTACGAAGACCCAGATGTTGATCTAGAATCAGTTGCGACAAAAGTAAGTACACTATTCATCAAATATGATATGCATAAGCTAAGCACCTATCGATAATGAAACTGCAAAAATGCGTATCTCGGTTGCAATGTTTCAAAATCTCCACTTGTATTTCTTTTTTACAAAGATTTCAAAGCAACACGATGGCTTGAAATTCTCATCGAATATTCTTTAAACAGAGATGAAATATTGCTGAAGTTTTCAAGAAATGGCGTTCAGCAGTTTTCCATGCACAAAATAAAGCATGACCGTCCAGAAAGTCTGCGGTGGCCCATGCCGCAAAAAAAAAAGAAAAGATAAAAAGAAAAGCAAAGACAGATAGGTACTTTTTTCTGCAGTTTCACCATTGTATTAATTTGGTGTATGAAACCATAGGATTCAAGAGAAATACATTTCCCTTTTTAAAATTTTCATGGAAAGGTGTGCATGTTGACTTATCAATTGGAGATCGAACTGTATCATTAAGACTAGGGTAATGTCGAATAAAAGCAAGCACTTTCATTGTCATAAATGAACCATACACTCGTCCAGATCATTCAAAATCACGTGTTTTTAAGTGGGCAATACTGTTTCTGTCAGTCTGCCTTTCTGTGAATTTTAGGCAGTTTTTTTCGTTTTATTTATTTTATTGCTTTGATTCTTGGAGTTTCAATGTTTCAGCAAATTATATTGGCACATTCTTGAGAAAATTCCTTCAGAAATTCCTCTAATACTTTTCTTATGGACGTGCTTTTGCACGCTTCAATTTGATGATCGATCAGAAAATGAACAATCCAGAGCCAAATGTTCGTTACACGGCAAATCCAGAATGCATTTTGTGGATATTCCATTTTTTGATTGGTGAATCACCTTTCTGCGTAAGACAGGAATGCGAGTACCCACTTTTATTCTAGGTTTCCCTAATTAAGACCTCTATGAAAAGTGGTGACTGGAAGTGAGACTTCTATGAAAAGTGGTGACTGGAAGAAGTTTTAAGAGAATATTTAAGACATTTTCCTCTCTATTAAGAGGAATATTAGTTTAAATAATGAAAGACCAAGTTCAACCTTCACCTGCTGAATATGGAAAAAGTTATTTCTGTTGAAATAGAAGTTGAGTATAAAAGAGAGGTACAATAAAAATTCATTGCTGATTTTGCAAACTCGATCGATAACCTACTGGACTGGACCATTTGTGGACTGGACTGGGCTGGATCATTGTAGAAAACAATTTTTCCATGTTTTGTTTCATATTTCCACCGCCGATCAAGTACGATTTTAATCTGAAATGTAAAGGAGTGAGGTAGAGCCTTCCATATCAATGAATTTTGCAATTTAATCAAGTTTAGTCAGGGGAGTCTTTCAAAAAGAGTTATTAAATACATATTTGAAAATGGTAGTAAAATTATTTTTTGGCACCACTTACACTTTAACTCAGTCATCCACCACATTTTTTCATTTTTATTGACAAGTGTAAGCCTCTGATCAGAATCTTTGTGAAAATTATGCATTTTAGTAAGCGCTGATAGTGAGTCTCTTCAATGATTGAGAGATGACAGCTTTGCTTTGAAACTGGATTCAAGACTGAAGACTCAGGATTTTTGTGAAGATTATTCATGGTAGTTTTTTCACTATCAAGGAAAGTGCAGGACTGTGATTAATGACCCTGTCGAAGAATAAGTTACGATGCCCAAAAAAATCTTACTTCTTTTTTCATTTTTTGAAAGACTTTAAATTTCTAACTGTATTAAGTTCTATAGCTCAGGAAAATGTGCTCAGTTAGCAATGAGCTGGGTTAGGTAAGTCGAAAATTCCTCTGCAAGGCTCCAATAGCTCATTAGAAAACTGATTGTACGTCTGTTCCAACACTGCTTATTTTTTTCCCGGCACTAATAACTCTAGAATTATTAGAGTGTTAAACTTTGAAAACTGATTGTACGTCTGTTCCAACACTGCTTATTTTTTTCCCGGCACTAATAACTCTAGAATTATTAGAGTGTTAAACTTTCTTTCCAACCCAACCTCGTAGCTCATTATTTTTTTATGTTCTTGCTATTTATTAACTCTGCTGTTTTTTAGGTCTATGCAATAAAGGTTATGAAAGAGGGTGTGCAAGAATGTTTAGATTTACTGGGCTCCAAAGGACTTTTAGAAAGTTTTCCTTTTGAACAAATGTTGCGAGACTCCCGAGTACAGCCGCTTTTCAATTTGTCACTTGACTTTTCAGATGTCTATATTGCTGCTGTTGGTAAGTGCATTTGTTACGCTTCACTGTTTACTGCCTCTCTTTTTTGGCTTGCTCCCTCCCTCCTTTCTTTTCCCTATCCATAGCCCCCCTCTCACCCTTTTTCACTTTGCACTGTTTTAAAATCGTTACAAGCTGTCTCTCTTCAAAATGGCCGCGCCTCAAGTCATCTTAGAAATTCACATTAAGTACATAGAGTCGTAATGTAAGTGGGAGGGCTGGCGCCACTTTTAAGCATTTTTCAGGTCCCGAATTCCGAGACTTCTGCGTAATGCTGGGTCACTTTTTCGATACATGATTGATCGTTTGCGATACAGGAGCACCCGGCCATCCAATGTAACAAAGAAGATAGGAATTACCACGTATTTTACACCGCCATTTTGGATTGAACATGTATCGAAAAAGTGACCCGAGCTCAGCGCATACCAGGTTTGGAACTCGTCGAGCAGAACATGGCGCCAGCTCTCCCACTTACATTACGACTCTATACTTGCTATGGAAATTCAGGCTGCGGAGTTTCAAATTATTTCAACAGACAACTCATACCCTAAAGTGCCAGTGCATTTTTTGGGAAGCATTTTGAAATATCGCTTCAGGATTCTTGAGTGAACGTAAGCACAGCACTCAAAGCAGTGTTATGACTAGATTCTAACATAACTCATCAGAGCCATTTGCAAGTGGTGAGGTAGCATTGAAAAATTATTCTTCAACTAAGGAACAAAAAAAGGGTAAAATCTGTAAATCTGTGTTTAACCAGCAATTCATTGGTGCCGGCTTTGAATGAGTTTCCAGTCTCTCAGAAAGTTCAAATTCTTTATCATGCATGGCATGAGGGCACAGCGAATTTCTAACGCTGATCCAATCATCTTAGGTTTGGTAGGATCCTCTATAATCAGTTTTGGAGATTGCTTTGTGGTATTTTTTCGTAAGATCACGGAGAATCTATAGAAAAAAATGATGTTTTATGCCTTATATTCTGCAACAGAAATACCTGATGGGCTGGCTCTTCTGGGGCAAGGTAGAGATGAATGGCAACCTATTTTCTTGGGGGCTTTTTGCTTTTTCTTTTCAAATTCATCAGCTCCACCATTCTGACTTTCAGTGTTTTGGAATAATTTGTCAAAAATTTGATATTATTTACAATTTTTTGCAGCGTTTGAAACTCACCTTTGGGTTTCAGGAGCCGTATGGCCTATCAAGCTTGATTTTTAGGGGCCCAATAGACTTTTTGCCATGTATCATGGCGCATTTAGTGAAAAGGAGGAAAAACACTAAGAAATGGCCTGAACTGTACGTAACAAGGTGGAGAAAACACCTTCCACCTTGTTAGTGAAAAGTTAGATGCAAGATGTTTTAGTTACAGAACGAATAGCTGTAACTGGGGGAAGAGAAAAGCTCTAAGAATGAAATAGTGAATAATAAGAAAAAGCTTTTACTTGTTGTACTGAAAGTTCTGAGTTTTTTCAATTGGAACAGATTTTTTTTTTCTTTTAATTTATGTGACTTCCTATTGAAAATATTAAGGTAGTGGTCACCAGTGATTGACACCTCAGGGAAGATATAAAACACCTGTACTTTATTTATCTATTTTTATTTATAAGTTAATTGAGGTTTGGGATCTTAGGGAGTAAACGTTTAATCCAAGACGTTTAAACATTCATGAAGAGAAATTTGGAAAATTTCTCTCATTTTGGAAATTTTTCTCTTCATTTCATATTTTTAAGGCTAAGATATAGTTAAAGAAAGTGTTGGTCACTGGTGACTTTACCTAAGAACTAGAGGCACCTCAATGGCTGATTGCAAACGATCTCTCCCCTCTCCTTGTCCTATTCAACACTGATCCTCATTCTGTTGTGCCGCCGGCCGCACCGCAGCGAAGTTGCACGTGCAACTGCTTGCATTTCGCGAGTTCAATCCGGTGCCGAGTGTCGAAATTTCAAAAAATCATCTTACAGAAAAATTAGGATTTTTTTTGGAGGGGGGGGGGATTTTTAGGGGCCATGTTGGTGCTGAGCCTTCTTATTTAGGCGCCATGACCGATTTCTTAGATGCATTTGACGCATTGGCGCCTGTGAGTTTCGAACGCTGATCTTGTATCATTTTTTTTTTTAGGATTACAACATGCTGGCGAACCTTTTCAAGAGTTAGTGACGAAACTAAGAAATCCCCTTAGTTACCCTTTCGCTGCCTTCAAACTCTTCCAGGAAACACAACGAAGTTTGAGACGGGATCCAAAACTGACGTTAAAACTGCATCAATACGTGCATCCATCACTTAAAGTAAAGACTCAGAATAATGCTTTAGTGTCTTAACTCTAAAAATGCATTTTTCAACTTGTTAATTTTAGCATTTAGTACAGCTTTTCCAAATAAAAAAAAATAAAAACAGGCAGTCATCTCTGGCATACGGGTGCCGGATAAGAGATCGATTTTGAATTTTGATTTTTTATTTTGATCATTTGAAGAGCTCTATGTTCCAGAAGTATTTGTACAGAAACGGACCATTTGAAGTATGCGAAAGGTTGCGATATTTTTGCTTTGATCAAAAAGGTGAATCGTAGATCTGTGGTGTAGTAGATTGATCAGAAGAAGCGATCATGCTTACGTATTGAATCGCTTAAAAGGAGGGGACTTTTAAGAATAATTTTTTGATCAAATCTGATAGAATTCAAACATCGTTGCCAACTCTCAGTGAATTCAGGTTATGCTCTGCGGGAGTTTTGTATGGACTTTCTCAAATCAAAGCATTATTATTGAGGCTCCTTATTTTTCTATCACGTCTACTCACTACTTGAGGCATCTCATTCATTTCACGCAACAAACATTCATGTGAGGAAACAGTTTTGACTCCCTCATTCTGTTTTTTTTTCTTCTTGCCACCAATCCCTACTTTCAATGACTTGGCATTGTTTGCATCAATCAACAAGTGATTTGGTTTGCCTCTATATCTATTGCTCTTTCTGCATCTCCTCAGAAGGCCGGTTATTGAAATTGATAGACAAAGCCAAAGACAAACAAGACTAAAGGGATATAGAGGGATCCTATTAGTGGAAGTGGGTGGTTGCAATGAACGAATGAGGTAGGTAGTAGACAAACTCACAGTAACCCACGAAAGACACTATAGTCAGTCTATCATTTTCTTCCTTAGTCTATAGGAACCACCCATTTCAACCAACAAGAGGCTAAGTGGCTTAAATGGGAATATGCATTTGAAACCCTATGATGAATACCCGTTCCTATTTTTTTTTAAAAAAAAAAAGAAGAAAAAGAAGGAAAAAAACAGGAAAATTATCTCTTTTAATTTAACTATATTTCTCTGAAATACAAAAGATATTTCAAAAATTGCTGTAGGGATGTCGATACTTATCCGGTATCGATACTTTCGATCGATACTTAACGATACTCGGCATCGATACTCCACGATATCGATACCATGCAGTATCGATGCAAAGACCCCAGTATCGACGGTATCGATACTTAATCTGATTTGGCCATGAAGAAGGCCTCTTTTTCTTTTTTAAAAAATTCTCTCCCCACTATTTCACCTTCATGATGCACTGTGACAAACGACGAAGTAATCAAGTTTCTCAAGATGATTATACTTCAATAAAAATGGTAAAAGCTCAGTTCGATAACTGTAGTTAAGGGCTCAAAACTGTAGTTGACTAAGGACGCGAACAGGGCTTTTTCGAGAGAGGCGTAAATCGGGCGGAACTTAACGGCCGACAGACACATGCACACTCAGAATCACGGCATAATTCAGAAATAGTATCGATGGTATCGATACCTCATAAGTATCGATACTTCAGCTCGATGATCGATACCGGTATCGATGCTTAGAGTCGATACCAGTATCGATACCGAGTATCGATACTTCCCTGAGTATCGACATCCCTAAATTGCTGTTGAAAGCTGTCAACATAAATAAATCATTCTGGTCTTTGTTATTTTTTCCATCAAACTTCAATCGACAATAAAGTTCCCTAATTCACTGTTTCTTTTTCTGTACAGGATGCAAGTACCCAGCTAGAAAGAACAGTTCTACGTTTTAAGTTATGTGTTTTGGTGGCGTTGACAAAAGACGGGATGAACATCATGGATAATCATTTAAATCTCAAACGACTCTCTGAATTGGCAGTTCTCTCTTATGCCATGACTGCAGTTATTTCACGGGCATCTAGATCGTACTGTTGTGGCACTCAGAATCATGATCATGAAGTAAGTTTGTTTGAGTGAGCATACATTCATGTGAAATTAAATGTCAGTAGCTTAGCACTGAAAGACATACCACTCCAAAAACAGGGCAGCGACAACTTATTGTGCAGCAGTTGCTGATGGTTGCTGTCAAAAGGAGGCACCAGAAAAAGAGAAGGGGCGGAAAAAATGCTAAAGAAGGAGCAGATGAAGAAATTGGAAAGAAGAGAGGAAAGAATGAGAGAAGATGCGAAGTTGAGAGAAAGAAAATAAGCAAAACTGACAGAACCAAAAAGACTGTGGAAACATAATGTGAATGCTGCTCTTTTTCAACAAAGCAATAAATTATATCAGCTATTTTTGAATGGCCTGTCAAGGAGACCCTAAATTTCATTTTTCAAGGTTAACTGTATAATATGTTTCTGGAGAGAACCCATTAATGCCCTACCCATACCTGGAAGGAGTTTGCTAGGATTCCTTCTAGACAGCCTCTTACTTACTCTTGATACTAAACTTTGAAGGACTCTGTCCATCCATGTTTCAATCGACTTCATTCTTAGTAAAGTATATTGGAATACCCCCTAGTAAAAAGCGTTATATCAGATGAATGTAAGGTTCTGCAGCCTAAAAAGACGGACTTTGGCCCAGTGAGACAGGATCCTTTATTTCTACTGCTAAATTAATTTCCCTGCTCGTAGCTAACATTTATTCACTGAAAACAGTTACTAGGATTTTAAAGGTCGCCCTATTCAAATTTTTCGTTACTTTTTACATAACTTTCAATATTTTTTTTTATTTTTGAGCCTATCTTGAAAGTGAATGCATTAATACATTCACATTCAGAATCGTCTATCTCTGTCTGTCTTTTTTGTCATTTCATTTCAATAAATCTACAGATGCAAAATGCTAGATATGTACAACTGTACATTTAAAATAAAGTTTTTAAACATTTGAAGACCAAGAGGGCATCAAAAGAAAATAAAAGGTGTTGCCTTATGTTAAATATATTAACAAGACAATGGAAGAGAGGCTGTCAAAGTATATGCTTGATCTAGTTTTTCTTGGAAGGAGACTAAAGGGACACACATTAAAAAGGTAGTGGGTGGAAATTGAGCAAAAAGTAGACCTGTGCGATTAATCAAATTTTAATCATAATCGCGATTAATTTTTTTCATCGTAATCATAATTGGTTGGAGAAATTAATAGTTATTGATTCAATCAATTTGACTTGACGAAATTTCCAGTTTCGCGCTGCATTTTGAATTTGAAATTTCCGCCACGTTTGTTCGAATTTGCATCACAACTACGGTAGTGTGCTGCTAGCCCCTAGCGGTAAAAATTCGCACTGAAAATAGTGAAAACCCCGCAAAAATATCCGCATCGGGCTTGTGCCGCAATTTCACGTAGATGATAAAGCTTCTTTGAATACTTTTGATTAAAGAGGATGGCAGTGCATCAAGTAAAAAACAAAATTAAAGTTGGCAGTTTTATGGTCATGAAAGCCAAAAAATAACTTCGTTTTTATACCCAAAAAAAAAAAAAAAATATTCTTCATTCTGTTTTACTTTTTCAGTTTTTTCCCGATTTTAATTGTAATCGTGATCGTAATCGCGATTAATATCGTTAATCGCAATCGAATCGTAATCAAATTGAAAAATTCATTATCGCACAGGTCTAGCAAAAAGTGAGGGAATTTCATCTCCTTTAAGGGCATTGAGAGGACATGGGGCAGTGGCAGCTATGTGTCACGTATCATTATGATACTAAAGAGAAGCCAGAGAGGAGACTGCAGGAAAATCACTTGCTCTGGGTGCTGAATAACCTTAATCTTACTCGCTGAAAATATGTTGACTTGAGCATGATTAAGACGCATCTAAAATGTTGAATGGTATTGGATTTCCTTTTATTCAGTTTCATGGTTAACAGGTTTATTTAGCACTATCTTCTTTCAATTTCATGTATCCTCTATCTTTGCAGATGCTGTTAGCTGAGAGTTTCGTGAAGGATATGTGTGAAGCTATTGACTACGTAATAGGTGAAATACTTGAGAGTCCCACCCAAAATACTGATGAAACATCAGTAAAAATAGCAGATAATATTTTTAAGTTCAAAGGTTATGCAGCAGAACATCCTGTTCAAAGAAACATTACTTAAATATTTGTTAATGCATTTCTTGTCTTATGATATTTTTTTGTTATTTCTTCCTTCATGCAAGCTGTTTCTGGCTGGAAGTGGTATTACTAAGTCATCAATCGTAAACTATTCCAAAGTTGCATTAAAGTCTTTTGCATAAAAAGTGAAATCATTTGTCTTCGTAATTCTCCTTCAGGCATCAGAGAAACACCTTTACTTAAGGATATTTAGTTCAAAGGGGCTGTTCATAAAATATGCAACACGAAAGAATAGTAATTAAGCACGCAACTATTCAGACTCCGGAGTAGGTATGAAGTATCACGCAAAATTGAAGGAAAATAAAAACTCTTTTTCCATCTCAAGTTACTCGCTTTCATGAATATTATGCTCACATCAATACAAAATACACTTATTTCCTGTGATTTTCATGGAAAAATTGTGTGATCCTTTGACTATGTAATCAATAATTTTCAAACTTTGCGTCTGTGTTGTGGCATTGAACTAAACAATGCATGATTTTCAATGATTTTACCCACCCGCTGGAGAAATCGTGTTTTTCCTGGAAATTTGCTGTGATTATAGAGTTATTTCTCATTTTTTCCCAAAATTGCTGGAACAGTCGCACATTTCCTGCAAAACCGAGATGAAATGAAAATGAAATGAGATGATTTTTGTTTTGATCTCACAAATCAGCCAGAAATATTGGGTCATTTACACAATATTGAGATGAAATTTGCGTAACTTCTCTCTGTTTTACAAGCGGAAATCAAGTGAGCAACTATTCAAACTCCCCACTGCACTGCTGTGCTAAGGAAAAACGCTGTATGAATATTTGAAAGGTGCCAAATTTCCTCCGATACAATGTTTATTTTTGAGAAAAATTATGTATATTTTTCCATGAAATTTTTAGATAATGTAGATTGAATTGCGAACAAAATTATCTAAAAATTTGGAAAAAAAATATTCACAAGTTCACCAGGAAAATCATGTTTAATCCAAGGAAATTTGGCAACGCCTAAAGGTTCATACAGCGTTCTTCCTCAGCACAGCAATGTAGGTAGGTGGTGTCATGCATATTCAGCCTATCTCGAGGTACAGGCCTTATGAACATTATGCTCGCATCAATATTAAAGTCGCCTATTTTCCGCAATACACATACACTAGAGGCCTGCGCGGCCGCCAACCACTAAAAATAAGAACACGTAAAAAGTCGTAGAACAATCATGTTCAAATTATTTAAAAGATTAATAAATTCAAAAGCTGACGGGTGCTTGCGAAAGAAAGCAAATTTATCTCTGATTCACCACTTTTTTTTATTCATTGTTTTTAAAAAGCTACACACAGTTTTCTGGGAAGTTTCCTCGCATTTTCCAAAATGATCTTAATGCATCGAAAATTTTGACGTGATATTTTCGTTTGTTCTATTTTGTTTAATCCGACAAAAGGAAATCATATATCGTCCAAGTTTCTGAATTGTTAAAACGAGGATACATATTTTCCCCTTCATAGGGAATTTGCAGGTGTCTGAAATTTGATGGATTTCGTGTTTAAGTGGAAAATATTGGGTGGACTGAACACGAGGATACCCTTGGCTTATGAATTGAACAATTATTGGAGAAGATATGACAAAATGATCTAATCTGCTAAAATACAAGTGTTTAAATGGATAGTGCCGCCAGGTGATGGAACTAGGTGGCTATTTTCTCACTTTTAAATCAATTTTTATACTATTTCCCATATCAGAAAAAAATTATAAAAAATACTGTGAAAGCAGACTTATTATAATCAGACTTATATATCGACGGTGAAACTACCAAACCACGTATCTCGTTTGCGGTGTTTAAAAATCTACGCTCGCATTTTATTTTTTTGAAGTCGACCAAATCAATATCATTCCTTGAAATTTTCACAGAATTTTCTCCGCACAAAGAGAAAAAATCACAGAAATTTTCAAGACTAGACGTTAAGTAGTTTTTCATTTAAAAAATAAAGTATGACAGGAAGTCTGCGACATCGCAAACCGAGATACGTGGTTTGGTAGTTTCACCGTCGATATACCACTCTTTAAGCACTTCTAGATGAAGCAATAAAAAATGTGCATGCAAATTCTCCATTGTGATAAAAACCGGAACAGAGAGTCATGAATTAAATTAAAATTAAACATTACTCGGCAACTTGGCAAGAAAAAAATTCCGATAAAGATGAGGATGCAAGATTTTACAACACTGTAATCGAGTTGGATCCTTGTCGTTTAATGTGATCCAAATACTGCATGATATGAGGTATGCAGCATAAATCGACAGTGCAAGTCCGCAACCACGTATTTCGTTGGTGGTGTTTGAAAATCACCGCTCCTATTTTATCTTATTTTTTTTCAAGGGAGAACAAATCGACATCATTTCTTGAATTTTCCGCAGAATTTTCTTCGCACTGCTAAAAAATCACGGAGGCTCACAAGAATTGACTTTGAGCAGTTTTTCATTTAATTAAAAATAAAGTGTAATAGGGAGTCTGCAACGTCGCAAACCGAGATATGTGGTTGCGGACAAACACCGTCGAAAAGAAATAAGTGATAAGGCTTCCTTTCAATACTGCCGTGCTAAGAAAAAACGCCGTATGAGCCTTTCGGCGTTGCAAAATTTCTCCTGGCAAATTTCTAATATCCAGGACAATTTTTGAACATTTGCCTACCGATTTCTCAGGTAATTCTGTTTGTAATTTGATCTAAAACTATCGAAAATTTCAAGGAAAAATATTCACAATTTTCCTCATGAATAAACATTTTATCGGAGGATTTGGCAACTCTCGAATGTTCATACGGCGTTCTTCCTTAGCACGGCAGAATAAGCGTCCAATTAAAAAAATCGCTGAAACTCAAGAGTTCAGGAGTAGAGTTCCAAGGTGTTCGCTGGTAGATTTGGCAACAGGGGAAAATGGACAAATCTCATCCTGTGAGGCAGGGTGAGGGTGTGTGTGTGTTTGTGTGCGAGCGGGAAGCTTTCTCCTTCTTTCAGACAGACGCTAAAAATTGCGCGCCGCTATTCTGTCACGTCCGGTCCGTGGTATATTGTTCTGTTTAAACTCGCTTTCCTTTTAACAATTTCGGTCATTAATTTCATTCAAGCGGTGCTCCTGTCTTACGATTGACGATTGTCTTAATATCAGTGCAAGTTTCTATCGTTTTTTCTTCGAAGATTGTGTGAACCTTACGAGTTACGACCAATTCGCACTCGGCAAGGGGCGAAGGATCAAAGACGACCACGAACGTATCCTTCCTGTCTCTCGTCTGATCGGTTGAAGTTATTCGTTCTCGCGTTGTGCAAGTGAACTTCTCGCGAACATTCGTTCAAAGTTTCCGTGGACTGATTCGAATTCAACGAGGACCATTCTCGAAAATGGAGATACTCTAGATTCGGGAGTATCGAAAACGGCGTGGACGTGCGGTTTTCCTCTCATCGGTTGGAGTGATTTCGTTTCGCACTACGCAAGTGGCCCTCTCTCGATTTTGTGTCGAATGTTTTCGTGGACTCGATTTCGGATTCGACAATCTGTTGCCTTCTCATTCAAAAGAAATCCGCTAAGATCTAGGTTTTTCTCTCTTGCGATCCATACTGTGTTCGGCTGAGTGACGAGAATTTGCCTGCTGGTGTTTCGTTCGAGGTGCATGGCTCGCGTGGATTTTTGAGCCTCCGAGGTTCTGCGTGTCCTTGCTCGAAGTTAAGACATTTTTATTCGTCTCGCACTTTTGTTTCATCGGTTTCGGTTCTCTCGTGGTTCGTCTGATATGTGTGAACTATTCGCGGTGGTTTCGAGGGATTCAACGGTTCCTTTCGATGGTCGCGGACAGTTTCGGTTCTCGTGTTTTCGGATTCGATTATATCTGTGTTTTCGCGTTGTGTGAAACCTTGATTCAGTGATCGTGCGTTTTGTGTGTCCTGTTTTTCATCCAGTGGGACGAGTCTCGAGAATTGTGTCGATGATTATTCTGGAATATTCTGCCCCATTAAGCTATCTTCGACGGGTTGGTGAGGCTCTCCGGTCAGGTCTGAAAATATCAATTATTTATTCTATTCTGATTTCAATTCTGTCACAACATGTTGCGTTTCTCTACACTGATTGCTGATTTATGGTTATTGGGTTGTGCACTCAAAGAGTGCGGTGTTGTATCCCAAAGAGGAAATGAAAAATCGGCTTTATAGTTGTCCAGAAATTTCAGTCGCCTCTAGTTTAAGGTATTTGTCGAATTGTGATCACAATTCTGTATCATTTATCTATTAATTTTACTTTCATTGGATACATTTTATTCAGGGGAACTCTGACATGAGCTACGTCGTGCATTTACAGGTACACTTATGGATCTTAGGGCTCATTTAAGAGTGGATGTTGTTCCTTTTGATTTAATACGTCAAATTATCTACATGTTTTCAGTTATTATTTGCTGTCTTTTCATAGTTTTCTTTTCCAAAATTCCTCGAATGAGCCGGAGCTAGGTAGTTATTTCTAAATTTGAAGACTGCTGGTGAGTGTTAGGAGAGGGAGGTTTTGATTTTTTTTTTTTTTTTAAAAATTTTATCCTACAGTTTTTACTCTATTTGTGTGTTCTGAATCGAAGTAAATCTTCACGAAAAATCCCCCCAACAGTCCATCTCCCTCTCTCTTAGTAACTCTAATGAAAATTTGTTTAATGAAGTCATCAATACAGGTCATAGTGCGAGCTACAATGTTTTCATTTGTATCATATTTTCTCCTCAAGAGTTTCATGTTGTTCCTAAGTACCTTTCCTATTTTAGTTCGAATTTTCCAAGAGGATACTTATAAGTAGCGTTAAGTTAGAATACAATTTTTGCTCCTCTCTGCCCATCACGCTCTGATTTATTATTTGAGAATTAGGTACTCAATTGAACGACTAGAAATTTGAGATTTCGCAAAGATTATAAAACGTATCAATTTTTAAAATCTAGAAAGTCACCTTCCCCCCTCCCGGAGCCAGGAGTAAAAGCCAGAGGGACTTCTTGTTTTAATTTTTTTCAACTATTCAGAGTGTTCTTTTTCCCTGGGAAGTGTCTAATGGACAAAATTGAAGAGAGAGACGAAGGATGGATGTAAGAAAGAGAGAAGAAGAAGGACAGATTTAAAGAGGAGAAGGATAATAGCTTTGAGAAAGAGAGA